GCGCGTCCCCGGGGAGCGTTTAAAGCGCGGCAAAGAATTGTTATTTTTGCACCTGCACCGGCGCTCGGCGTTCCTCGCCGCGTCGGAATTTTCCGTAAAAGGCTCCGCGGTGTCCAACCAAATATTTATCGCGCGATGGCACCCGTGCCACCCGGGGCGAAGCGAAGCACGTGGATTAGATGCCAACGGCCGAATCAGTAAGCTCAAAGTGGGCGGGCCGTACTTTGCTATACTGTAAGCTCAGGATTACGCGCACCGCGAGCGTGAATCAAATGTGCACGGCTAACCGAATGCATCCGCAGTATTAAGTTCGCGCAGTTCGCACAGAACATCGCACGGAATGATAGCTTTTGTGCTCCGACGTAACGATATACCTGTTCAAGGGCTTTCACGACGAGAGTTCTCTCCCGGGAAACGAACGTTACGTCTTACAAGGAAACGCTGGGAGGTGTCCTTCGCCAATTTCGATAAACTTTGAATGTATCGTACTGCAGCTGAAGATAAGAGAGACATGTATTTTCTCGCATGCTCTCTCGACGACACATTCAAGGTCCATCGAGATCAGTGAGCGACACTTCCAAGCGTTTCCTCGTTGGAACAACCCGGTTCCTCAGTTGCGCGAGCGCACGTTGATTTACGAAGTCGATTTTCGACGATTCTTGGTTTATTTCGGACGGGCCTCTCGCATGCTGAAACAGTTGACTCGACAAATGGAGGAAGACGTAATATTGCGCTTACGATGTTTCAAAATTATGGATTTCGAGAGAGAATTATGTGACAGTGTAATAAGAAAGTTCTGCTTGAGATTTCGCGTGTAGATTATTCCAATAAATTTCGCAAAATGTGCAGAATACTCGCTTTCTCTCTCTCTCTCTCTCTCTTTCTCCCTTCTTTCCAGCCCGGAGCAGCTTCGGATGTATCGAGAAACGAGGAAATCGGATGATTTCTCCGTTGAGTAAGTGCGGAAGGCTGCCGGAAGACAAATATTTATCTCCTTTGTAGCTCTGCCCCTTCGACCGCGTGATATATCGAATGGAACTGCCGACGAATATTTTCGGCCAGCATTTCGAATGGAGCATCGAGAGATACTGTCGCGCGCTAAATAAATCGACACCGCGCGAATATTCAGAAACCGCCGGTAGCAAACGCACCGTACGCGCATTCTTGCGCCGACGTATTTATTATGAAAGCTAATTACCGCACCTCTCGAGAGCGAGACAGGCGTGCATGTTTGTAGGGAACGCGGAGTTAATTACACCTTAACCGTATTCAGTATTGTAATAATGTGCGGAAACACCCGGAGGATATTTGCTCGAGTTGCCAAACTACGCGAGTCGGCTAAGTATAATGAAACGCTCTATATCGTGAGATTAGGAGCGAATACCGAAAGCCATTACCCGCGATTCGAGATTATTAAGAGTCCCGGCGCCGTTATTGGAGCCGCGACGTTTACGCGTATGTGCGTGACTGCGGCGCGCCAAAAACGAAACGGTCGGTTAATTATCGGACGCGGACGATAATCGCTCGCGGAGGTCGCGACGCGCGGTAACGAGGCGGCGCTTAATCCGAACGAGATATTAGAGCGATGCGTCATCCGCGGGGTATCGCAACCCTTCGCTCCCCTTCGCAGCTGGATCTAAATTCCCATGAATTCTCTCTCGCGCGCGCGCGAGATAAAGAGACGCGCCCGCAAACAAATGACCCTGGGGGGGATTCTTTTTCCCCGGGTTTTGAGGAGTCGCGGACAAGATGTTGCGGAAGTATCAGGAAGGAAACTTCTCCGGAGAGTGGAAAGAACAACTTACAGATGCCAGGATTCTTCCGAGCCCGACGCGACGCCGGCACAAACGGATCCCTTACAAACGACGAGCGCCCGGGCAACTTTTTGACCGCGGTGTAAAACGAATTCTCGTAACTCGGTGGCGAACTCGCGGAAACCACGTTTCTTCGAGCGCGCGCCGCTGCACGAATAACGCGCGACCTCTCATTTCTAAGGGTATCATCTATTCAGAAGCCGTTAATAAACTTTACGTGTGCGGCCGCTCCGCCCGAGTCATCCGCTTTCCCCGAGGAATTTGCATTTAGAAAACGCAATAGCAAATTCATGCGATATACGGAGTGCTTCGTTCATTTTGCATTAAACTTCACGACCGTGCGGCTTGATTTCTCTCATTTGGGAACGACGACTCTGCGTTGCTCTGGGACACGGGAAGAGGGCGCTCTGGAATTTTACCCAGTCCACCCCCGACCTTTGGATCCACCTGTGCATCTTTATCGTGAGCGTGTAACAAGCGCGATATTATTTATCGAGTACCCCGTGCGGACTCGCGCGCGGCAGCATATTTCACCATTACACTGAGAGAGCCCGAGCGGCGTCCCAGGAATACAAGCGGCCGCAGCCGGCGGGTTTGATCGTCACCCTCTCGTGAACGCCTGACGCTCGCCACTTTTAGCACGCCGCGTGCGAGTACTCGGTCAGATGTCCCTGCATTATTTGTGCCCTGCGGAAGGAGCGAGAGGGCCGGGCCGGAGATCGAGGGAGATGGAACGCGCGGCAACTTCATATACGGATGTACCGGGAGTACATCGATCCGACCGCAGCCCGATTGCCAAACCACCGACTGCAATGCAGCGTCCGCCGCCGGTTGCGTCGGATCCGCAGTTGCACCGGCGTCGGGGATAGTCGGCTGTGCCATGGGAAATTTAATTTCGCCCAGGCTTTACGCTTTACGCTCGAAATGTAACCACCGCAACGATCTCTCGCGTTCGCCGCACTCGTCGCGCGCCTGATATTTCTGCGAGAGAGAGAGAGAGAGGTAAGAGCCTCCTCTCGTCGCGTTCCTCGATCCTCGAAGGAACCGTCCAAGTCGTGACTAGCACGATCGCCTCTCCTCCCTCTTCTCCTCTCCGCACCTTCGAACTTTCGATTCAGTTTAAATGCGGAAGTGCACGCTTGTCTCGGACGATTCTCCCGCAAATATCCGACGGTGCTTCCTCTCGTCTCTGGCTGCCGGCTAACGTTTACCCCGCTTTGTGATGTTCGAACAACTGCTGGCCGCGGGTAAATAGTCCGGAGCGTCCGTTGGAAATCACTCGGCGTTAACTCGAAAGCAGAAGTAGCCGGTATCCGCGAGCGTCATATTCCGGGTTTTACACACACCCGCGATGTTCGTGCTTTCGTTACCGAATTGCAATTCCGCGCGGCTCCTCTAGTCGCGAGTTCACCGCCGAACACGGTAATTCCCGCTTCGATGTTCGATACTCGTTTCAGAATTCCGCTGTAGAAACAATCGAAAAACCGCCGAAAAACTACATTATTATCAGATCGGCGCGAGGCCGACGTTATCTTTCACATCGCCCGCTGGATAAGAGTATTATTGACTCGACCGTTCTAACGAAATTTTATCCCGTATCCTCGATTTTCCGCTACCCATCCAATTCTCTCGCCGCGTATATCGCGTGTACCATTCTATACCAACAAGTTCTCGCTCCCGCTATTCTTCACATGCAAATCGGAGATACATAGTATTGCATTCAATTCGCCGCTCCTCCATTGATCGTTTTTTTTTTCGCTCTCCCCCAGCTAACAAATTTGGTCTCTCTGTACATTTATTTGCCGCCTCCATTATACATTTTACCGTCGCAACGCAGCCGTGAGCGGAATGTAAATTGTATATTTGTACAGTTCTTTAAGTGCACGACGTACAATTGCTGATTAAACCTTGCATACATCGGCAACGACAGGGATTGCATTTAACGGAATTTCGCGAAATCACGAAAGTATAGCGCGGAAGTTAAGACCAAACGTGCAAATTATTACTTGCCTATTGAAAAAGTATCACAATGCAAGAAAATAAAGTGTGAAAGGTTAGTATTATTCCCAATTTATGTGCAATATAATCTCTTTCTTTCTGAGATTTGAATATTTAACAAAAACTTCTCTTAAATTTTTCTTTACAGCGTTTCTACCGAAAAACCACGTATTCCTGCTCGTGTCTTAGGGAGGAGATACATGCTAACAACTACATCATATAAATACTTAGAAATTGGAATCAGTGTAGGACCTGCATCCTACGTGGAACTTGTTCTTGGCGATAATCGAGGCAATCATTTGATATTACCAAATGAAATCTGGAAGGAGATTATACATAGACGTGCACACATCGAACGATATGTGGCGTCATCTCATTCCTCGCCATTATGGATTCGAGATTTGTCGCTGGAATGTCGCATGATGCATGGTGATACCATTATACAGCTTACATTGTTCAACAAGTCATTGTATTTAAAACCGGAAACATTGAATAACTTATCCAATCTTGAGCAGTGTATCGATCATATGTACTCATGGCTATACAAAAATACACATATTGTTAATGCAAAGTTCCCAAAATTTGTATGTATTTTGCAACAAAATGATATTATTCGTAAATGGTACGAGTCCAAAACTACTGACTGGTCTTACGCAGCTAAAGTAATACGCGAAAGTGACGATTTCGACAGCGAGTCTCTCATCGATTGTGAGCTGGCCTTTGGCGTGCGCCTTGAAAGACTTTGTACATTATGTTCTGAATAATTAATAATAAACTATTTTAGATTCCCAAAGATTTTTTTAACTTAATATCCTCCCCCTTACCTTTCCCCATTTAGATTTAAGTAAACACGATATAGGGGCGAGTGCGCTGGAGGGGTGCGGACCTTCGCGCAACTACCGTGGGTCGTCGCGAACGGGTCGCTGGAGGGAGGGTGAGAGGAGGGGGTGCGCGAGGGTATACCGACTGTCGGAGGAGGAGGGGGTACCGACCGCCGAAGGGGGCCCTATTCGGCCGGTAAAAAAAAACAGCGCCTACCGACCGCTGCTGTTCGGTCGGTAAAAAAAATAAAAACAGCGCCAACTGCGCCAGCTGGTCTTTGCTACTCGGCCGGTAAAACAGATTCAATTGAGCCAGAACCGGCCTTTCTCATCTACTGTCGTTATCAAGGCGCGAGATGTGAGTCGGTCCCAAGCAGCGGAACTCTATTAACACTATCGCGCGCGGCTTATCGAGAACCACCGCAACCTGACGGTTCCTTCGCTCGGTGGGCGTGACGGCCGGATTAATCGCGATTCGACGATGAGATCCGCCGCGCGGAAGCCCGTCGTGCGCGAGGTGCAGTGCGATTCGCGGTGCGGTCGATGAAAGAAGGGAAGTACCCTTCCCGCGTGCGAAAGTAAGTGCGAGCAGCCGAAAAACGGAGGATTCGGAGCTTCGTATCGTAAGAGTCAGCGCGTTTCCTACCCGGCGTGCGCGACGCACCAACTTCTTACGAGGGAATCAGCGTGGCACACGGCCGGTCGCAAAGAGGTTGCGAATCTTTTTCTTTTTTTTCATAAATTTCCGTTTCCCGCGTTCGATGGGAGGATCCGTTTTCCAGTCATTCTCAGCTACGTTTTCCTGTCGGATGCGTCGCGATTCCCATTTGAGACTGAGCATACCGCGTGTGACAGCGAAAATCCCTCTCTTCGTATTCCACGTTATAGAATCAAGTCTGTTTTACGCGATTAGAGGAGAAGCACGAAAACTGATGTAAATACGATAAACCGGGAAACCTATGTTTCCCGGCTGTGGAAATCTGAACTCTGCCGGACGGAACGTGAATTTCGTCTACTGGGTACATACGGTAGTTGGAGCGGCAGTTTCCGTTTGCAAGCGCGCTCGGTTGTGTTATTAACGTTGTCTGATCTTTGTGCTGCTTCCTTTCGAAGCTATCTTTTTGTGATAATTAAAGTAAACGAATCAGCGGTAAGTAATTTATTTGACAATGCTATTTTATAGCGTGAGTTTTGAATCTTTTAAATCACTCATGCCAACCTCTATTCACTGTCATTGGGTCGTCAGTCTTGGAGCCTAGTTTGCAGAAGCGACCCCTTAAACATAAAGAGGAAATGGTTATCTGCAAAGATATATGTGATAAATTTCATAAAGCTATCATATATATTTTGATAGGGAAGTGTTGCTGCGGCTTGCATTTAAATTGTGCGTGTAAATCCTAACATTACATCTTCAACAAGGCTCCAAAACCTGAGAACAAAATGGTACGCCTTTTCCCTACGTAAAAGGAAAGAAAAAAAAAAAACAAATAGAGAGACAGTGCGCAGTGCGAACGTGTTAACAATTACGTCGTCCCGTGAACGCTCTCGTCGCGACACGTCCGCACCGCGGAAAAAGCTGGCCGATGGCCGCGCGCGCAGAAATCGAATTATGTCAAAACGGAATGCGTGCGGCGCGGTTTCACAATCACGGGAGTAGCGCGTATGCGTCAGCGTACGACGTAACCCCTGACAAGACGCCGCTCGCATGTAATTCACTTCTCGAGATCGGTATCGCGATTCCGGGCGGAGGCGCGACGGAGCGCGCCGCCAGGTATGTTTGCAATTTGCCGATAATCATCAGCTGGCAGGCATAAGGCGTTAACGAGTGTCCCGCGACGATAATTGAACGATCGTCTCGCCGATCGTGTCGAACGAACGCGACCTATTGTGCGCGCTAATGAAGCCGCGGTGTCGTGGAAATTAATCAGCTTCAAGGCGCGTAAAACGCGGAATTGCTGATCACCGATCGTCGTCGTCATCGATCGCGATTGCGCCGGGATTTGGCTGAAAATATCGGCGTGCTTTAGGGGTTAGACATTGAAATAAGAGTACCAATGCCTCGACATCTAACTTTTCTATTACCTTGATCCTTAAATATACTAAAAGAAAAAGAGAAACGCTACATTCAAGTCAATATATTTACCGAGGAGTGTATTTGGGTGATGGTTTTGCTTGAATTAAATTAATACTATTTGAGAATGTGGCACACTGAAGAAATGAAAGTGCTATATTTAAGTACGCGTTTACACTTGATCCAAGTAAAATAATTATTCCAATAGTTCTTAGCGAATGTTTACTTGAATGTAACACTTTTTTCTTTCAGTGTGCGAATATTAAAATTTTTACTAGAGAATAATCTCAATATTGAATCTATACACTAAATGAAGATATTTTATGTCGAAAGGGCTTAAATATTCGCATTTAACAATAAGAATGTTAGGTTAGAGTTGGGTGCGTATACAGGTATTTCCACTTTTACCTTAAATCGAGCGCGCTTATCGCTTGCCGTTATCATCGACACGGCGCCGTGGAACGGCTGTTGAAGAACACATGGCGATTAAACGCGTCCAATAAATCAGTTTACGATGTTAGAGAGGCGTTGATAAACGGCCGCGGGATGAGGCGCGTGTCGGACACGTGATTCGAATACTTTCTTAGATTGCCTGAAACGATTCAAACGCACGTCAAGGCAACTTCGATCGTCGCTTATCGGCAATAAGCGGGAGGGAAAGAATAGCCTTGTGAGAATAACACGCACATGGGGAGGGTGCGCGTTATTCTCGTACGATATGTTTCGGGAGATTCGTGTGTATCACGAAAGTTTACGGGGAGAAGCCTCAGAATGAGTCCCCCGAACCTGCCAATCTCGCAAGGCGAATGCAAACAACCTATAAATACCTCGGAATTTGGGCCAACTGCGGGCGCATCCACCCGCTGCTCCCCCGCGGTGCGATATGACGCGCGTATTATTTTTAGTATTAACAATTTGCAGAAGAACGCGAATAACCGAACGGTAAACAGGTTTTAAAAAGAGCCGGGGGAAGAGAGAGATTTACAGCTTGCAAAGTGGGAGAGCGGAGCGAAAGAACTCGAGACGTCGTTTATGTCAGATCCGAAATATGCAAAAGAGTCTTACGGACCGAGATTATTACGATGATTCAAAACCGCCGCGCTAATTCGAGGTTCGTCTTCTCTTTTCCCAGACGTGAACATAACGCGATTTTATCGGGTCGCGCGCGCGTTCGCCAAACGTTTTGCCGAAGCGCGAGACTGATCGTCGAAGTCGGCTCTTCAGTTCTGTGACGACAGGAAAGGAGATATCATTGTGGGGAAACGTAACGTGAGGAATATATGTAGCCGCGTAAATACGGACGCGAAAGGCTCGCGCGACCATCATCTTGTCGCGCGCGTGGTGCGAGAGCAATCTTCGCGCGGGCGATTTCGCCGCGTCTGACCACGTGTGACATTTATCGCATCGTCGTCCAGAGACGGCCATAAATCGGCTGGCACGCATCTCGATGTTGACGCGGGAAGATCTTAGAACGATCGCTGTCAGACGCGGGATTCTCCGTTTGAGAGCGATAACCATCTCCTGAGCTCCGAAAGCTCTCTCTCTCTCTCTCTCTTTTTCTATCTCACGCAGGAACAACACACAACGCGAGATTCTTATGTTGTGAAAGTTAATAATAGGGAATGTCACGTTAACAATAATCTCCCCTCCCCTTTCCTCCCGTATGGGTCTTATCAGTCGGAAGTTTGATTCACCCTCCGCGCGTTCCAGCGTCCACGACACTCATTTCCGAGGAGGTTCGACGCGGTTCGAAATCAAAATGGGCTCGACACTATTTTTCCTTTGGAAAAGGCTTGGATGAGGCGGATAGGATTTAATCGTTTCCTCCGTTCTCGCGAGTTCCCTCGGTCGAATTGCAAGGCGCATTTCTCGCCGGCCGTTGAAAAAGCACCGGCGGATCACGCGTGGGTTTTTAAATTGCAACCTCCCGATCTCGCCGAGACGCTTCCCGTCTGTAAAAATAAGCAGTGGCAGAATATAAAGCAGGGGCTCAATGCGACGGACTGTTTGTTTTTCCGATATCCGGTACCGAAATGTTCGAACGCATTCACGTCCGCACCACGGGGGCGAATTCGGTCTCTTCCCGCGGCGATCGCCACCGCCTCGAGACACAACGTTCGGAAAGTTGCATCGGACTCGTTTCATACATTGTAGTGAAAATCACAATAACAGAGGACATCTCGGCGATACTTTCAAGTTAAATTCGACGAACGAAGAAAGTCCCGAGAAGTGAATGTCACTTGGAACTTTTAGTTTTATCCTGAAGTTAAGAGATACAAAAAATAAAGTGGCACTCTTTCTTCGTTTAAACAAAATCATTTAACGTTAGCTCGTTTGATCTCGTTTGTATCAACGTAATTTTGCAAATTAATATCTCGTAATTATAGCAACTGACGACAATGAACTGGTTGGAATTTAAGTTGAATATTTAGGTTGAATTTGACCACCGTCGAGATAGACCGGTCGTCGATTCGACTTTTCACTTTTGACCGGCGAGTTACATAAGTTTCATCTCGAGATCAAGTCTGGATTCGAGATGAGAATTCGCGGGGACGGTGATGCGCAATTTTTTTCCTCGAAAGATAACGCGAGACCTGTGACCGCGAAAGAGGCGAGAGAGAAAGTTTACGCGTGGACAAGCCGGTTGTGTATGTCACCGCGGCATTGATATCGCGTTATGTCATTGCGCTTAGTGAGAGAGCGCCGCTCGATAGCCAGGCCGCCTGCCAAAGGTTACAGAAATGCGCCCTCGCCTCGTGATATCGGATATCTCATCGACTCCTGTTTAACCCCTTGGGTACGGATTTATTTGAGAAAATATTTGCATGTGGAACGGATATAATTTTTGGTTGCTTGGAGTAGTATGTAAAAGCAGTACATTTTACGTAAGAATTTATTTATTTCTAAAATATTGGTGACATATGTAGTATTAAGATGTCTTCAAGTAATTAGAATTGCAAAACAAAAATAAATTAATAACAACGAAATAAAACTAAATGAAATAAATTCAAGCTATAACAAAAAACCAATTGCTAATAATTATGCAGAGTGTGATATTTTTCAAAGCAAGTAGGTAAATGCAGTGCTACTTTGCATTGTTTGCACTGCCACGTAGTCTCTTTCCTAATATTATGCTTATAACAAAGAAATTCTTCGGCAATAGCTAAACGAAAGGAAGTAATGCCTGCCTTGGTTGTGCAGTTGATTATAGAATATAAAACATGAGCATTATAAAAGGCCATATCTATTAGATAAAAAAACATTTTCTTATAACCCTTTACACATTTTCTCATAACTGGAAAGCACGCTAGCAATTGGTCTTGTTGAATGACGTCTCTCAGACGTCAAATGTACCCAAGAGTTTAATTTTTGGTTTGACGTCTTAAACACGTCATCCGCTCCTAGGGGAAAAAAGACGTGAATGACGTGTCTCAGACGTGAAATGTACCCCAAGGGGTTAACGGAAGCAGACCCCCGCCAATATGACTTTCGAGTTTGGTCGCTTCGACAAAACCCACCGTCCTTTCGGTCCTTCGCGCGACAATCCGTGGAAAACTCGCGCCGAACAAGGAACGTCGTCACGTGAAGGTCCCTACGACTCTCCCGACGGTTACAAACGACACCGACGTGGAAAGAGTATACAAATCTGCGACGATAGCGACGAGTTAACGAATTGGGAAAGATGGAGGGGTAAGAAGTGTAGGAGAACGTATGGGGGGAGACTTCGCGAACGACGAGAGGGTCTGAGGAAAAGAACGAGCCCGACACTGGTATCCGAATCTGCATACTCGTCGGAAAGCCGGCGGACCCTTCTCTCCGAGGGGAACGAGAGGACTTCCAGGATCGCGAATAATTCGAAGGACGATCATCGGCCGACGTATACGCGGTGTCCGCGTGTGTAACCGCGCGCGAACCGCGGAGTTGTATGACTCGCGCGTGAATCACCGGAGACGAGTCGACGACGGCAGGATGACGGGACTCCTGCGAATCCCGAAAGGACACTTACCGTGGCTACGTCATCCTTGGTGACACACCACCCTACGATAAGATGTCGGCGAAACCGCCATTCGTTCCTCCGTTTCTTACCTAGCTCGACAGTTCGACGGATGCGCAGCGCGAGAGATTACCGCGCCGGTAGTTGACGCGATGCTCGTGGAATTTAATATGTAATTATGACGGAAAGGCCGCTCTTCTGGCATCAATCAGAGCCACGCGTTGCATTTAATCGCGGCTCCGTCACTCGCATCGCTACGCGCGAGTCACGTGCACGCTCACGTATCCGTCATCGCTGTCGTGTTGTAATATCGATTAGGGAACATGTGGAACTCTTCTCTGATCAGGGAGCGATTCTGGCAAGCGATAAGTGTCATGAACGAAGGTCCTGGAACTTTTCACGGGAAATGACACGAGCACCGCCACGTTAACGGCAATGACCGACTGATGAGTAACGCGGGGCGTCTGTAATAATTTCTCAAAGATACATGTTGCAATCATTTATTTATTTCGTTCTTCTGTAGGAGAGTAAATCCCTTCGGTAAATAACATTGTCGACAAAGTAAGGACAGATTATGCACAAACAAATAGTGACAATATTGTAAAAGATAGAAAAGAAAGAAGATGAGTAGATAAAGTAGGAGCAGAAGAAGTTAAAGAGGACATGAACAGAATGAGCAACTTCTGTAAGAATGAAAGGTTAATAAGAGTCGATAATTGAATGCGATAATTAAAATCTTAGCGGGAAGATCAAATTGTTAATTGTTGGTGTAATGTACCTGCCAGATTTACCTTCCGGACTTTCAACGCACGTGCGTTACACACCGTCGAACGATCCTATTAAAATTCAAATTATCGCGCTTAATATCCAGCGACGGCTTTCATTAACCTTTCACTCCCCACCGGTTCTCGTTACCTTCGGGGATTTCAATATTTTCCTTTCTTTAAATAGTTCGTGCATTCGATTTTTCCCAAATCAGACACGTTCTTCTTCCGGTTATCAGACAGAAATCAAATATTTTGGGAAAGAAAAATGCGAATCTAACGCTCGCCTACCATCGTCCAAGGTCGATTCTTCGGGTGGATCGTTGGATTTAATTACAACGTAAAGTCGATTCGAGCCAGCTATTTCGGGAAGATGACGCGACTTGTTATCAAGTGATATTAAGCAGAAGCAAATTGTTTAACTATTCACGGTCACAACTTGATCGACTCGTTCTTCGAATTCGTTTGCTTTCGTCGAAAAAGTCAGCCGCGATAATAAGCAGAAGCGATAAAGGTTGCATAGCTTTCCGTTGACAGTATTCATTGAGCAATCCCGCTCCTGACGTCACTCTCGTGCAAACGACGTTCAATCGACGTACATAATAATTTCGCGATGTAGTACTAGCGGTACCCCCTTCGCGCTTTTCACGCGGAGGTCGTCGTTAGCGTCCGTTGCATCACTGCAAGCCTTCCTAATGAGGGAACAAAGTTACGTCCGTGTTTTCCTGCTTATCGTAACGTACTACCTCTCTTTTTATAATTATACGTGAACTTTTTTGAATTTTATGGTATTGTTCAACTGTTTTGTGATAAAAAAGGATTGCTTTATATACTACACGAAAAAAAAAAGGAAAAAAAGGGAACAAGGGAGAAGAAAAAAAATATTAACTGGCTAAATTATACAATATATATATCGCAAATTTGTATATCAATGAATGGAAATCACGATTATTGTCGCGATGAGCGGCCAGATACGATTAATTAATCGCTCGAAAATAACAGAAGCGAGGATTCGCGGAAGGTTCCGTCACTACATATCTGATCCTGATCACTAACGAAGGGACGCCACGAGAAAGATGAAAGAGAGCGGACGAGTGAGAGACGGACTAAAAATACATAATCTGTCTGATCTTTCCCGAGGGAGGGATCTCAAATTCACTCTATTTTCAAGGCTGACTTTCAAGTGAGCTCGTTAATTCGGAAGCCCTAGAATAGCCGTGTCTTAACCTTGGTAACCTTAGAAATATCTCTGGAGTCGCGCCAGTTTCTGAAGCGGCCGGTTAAACGAAACTGTCTTCTCCATCAGTGTCAACTCCACTTGTATTAAGTAGCATTAACGTTCCATCGGGTTCTCGCGCGCTCTCTTCCCTCGGTCCCCCGACCAATTTTGCGTTATTTGTCCGTAAACAAGATCGTAAAGGCCCGTCGGAACGGCGAGAAGTAGGTGCCGAGTTCGTCATCAGCCTTGTACAAGTTATTAGCACGACTTGTAACACGGCGGCGCGTAGTCCGATTACGATCAAACGAAAATAGCGAGCTTTCGGGCGGGCACATATTAAAACGAATGTTTCGTCGCAAGCTGAACACGTCGTGTTCCCCTTGCCCCCCCTTCCGTGTAAACGTGCTCGCGATGCCGCACACGGTGTTAGTTGCCCAACACGTCCGGCGACTAGTCCCGATTATCGCGAAACAAATCGAGCTCTCGAGTAATGATGCAACTTTGGGACCGAGTCCAAAAACCACTCCCATAAGTTAGATCATGCGGTGCGGCCGGATGGTTGTTCATATTTTATTACCGATCATAAGGTGCGAAATGCTGGTGAAACTTCCGGCCCTGCAACGACGTCCGGACGATCCGCTCGGTCGCTCGCGCTTCCTCTATCGACACAGGTCGCGAATCCGCGCGCGAAATTTGCGTCTCAATAAGCAGGGACTAAATTAAAGTGAACGATTCTTTTCTTATTCTCTCGATTCTCAGTGTTTTAAGAAACGATCGTGAGATGGGTCACATCGGTGACGTCGCGGGTAATTCAAGCCGGAGCCGGAATTAATCTCGTCACCGTCGTCGGTTGATTCGGGCATCGGTAATTTTTGATCAACGTCGCTCAGCGCGTCACTGGGGGGGGGGGGAAACCCACGAAGTCCGCCCTTATTACGGGGTGCGACGCTGATGTCACGGGTCAGTCGTCGCCGATCCCGCAGATGCACTGAAACGTTGCGCCCGTTGCCTCCTTCTATTCAGCTTGCGAGTGTTTAATTTGAGGTTTACGGTCTTTCCTTTATTTGCTTTCGTCTTCCGCAGCGTTGATTAATATCATCCGTTTTCTTTTCTTTTTCCTTTTGTAAGAATAATCTCAGGGTGACGCTGGGGAGGGTCTATTAGGTTCCCCTAATTTCTTCGGTGGGCATGCATTGTCTCGACAAAATTCTCTCGCAATTCGGAGACCGGAACGATTTCTCCCCGAAAAGTCGCGACACATGAACACAATTTTCCTGAAGTATACAGTTGCTCCGAGAAAAGAAAACTATTATCTATAGAAAAATAAATGCATCCGGCCGTACAACAAGATGGCTGTAATATTTACGGTGAAATTGTATTTCAGAAGATCGCTTTGGTGCTTCGGTGGGTTTCGGTATTGTGACTTTTCAGGGAATTGTCCTACTTTTTCAATATCGGTGCATCTTTTCAGAGATAATGCGCGATGTTCCGCGTTATTCCTTCGCGCGGTATCGTTTTAGATTTTTGCAGCCCGCGGCAAATTAGCGTTGTATCGCGCTGACGAACAGAACGAGACACTGACGGCGCGATGGCGGCTGGAGGGAACCTCCTCGTGACGTCACAGGGAAGACGGGTCAAACGAGCGACCCACTTACGCATTCCCGTGCGGAATATTTGCATTAATTGCTCGCTCCTCAATGAACGCTCTTCAGACTCGTCCCGGCGCGGAGGCCCACGATCGAGGACAGCATAGCGATCCTTTCTCCGTTCGTCTAGAAACAGCTGCCGATGCAACTTCTCGGAAGCATGAAAGGATGAAGAATTACGTGATGCGAAGTGCGTGCGTCGGGCGGGAAGAATTTTGCGTTTGATGTGTTAAAAATACTCGGCGTACTCCAGTTCCAACCCACGTCCTGAGAGACGCCTCGTTCGAATCCCGCGTCAATTTCACCTCGACGGAAATTGCCTTCTCGGAACTTTCCGATATTTTTAATAAGACGTTGCGTAGCTCTATGCCTGGCGTCAAGTTACAGAAATTTGCTTATTAACGAGTAAACACCGCGTTTCCCTTCCTACGGGAAGTTCATTTGGTACAACATTCTCCTATCCTTGTATTTCGATTTAGCGAATTGCTCACGTGCGTATTTCGATTTAATGAAGTACCAACGGCCGGAAAATCGGTATCGTTACGCAAGCACGCGGCCTACCCAGGAAGCTGAAATCACGATCCTCGTTCCAGTCTGGTAAATTCCATCAATATTATAATGCAGCCGATTCGGGTGACACTCGTTTCAGAGTTACGTGATCCGTGATAGACGATCCGGTGTGGACCGATCGTACGTGGACGATCGGATGTTGTTAAGCGCGTCGCCGCTCCGAGAGAGAGGAGGTGACGACTGAACGTCGTCGGCGGAATGGTGTTCCGGCTGAATGAGATCCCTCATCTGTCAAGATTCCTTTTTGCGAGTCTCAAGTCGCTTCAGAACAGAGATATACGCTGATACCTCCGATATGTTCGGGACGTTTGGGGAAAGAGACGTATCTCGAACGTAGCTTGCGAGAATACGCAACGCACAAGATTCGCGGACGGAGGTCTCGTTTAAATATACGCGCGCGTTCGGCGACACAAAAGAACATGAGTGGGATGAATCAAACATTGTCCGCTCGGCGAAACCTCGGCGGAGACGTTGCACAAGTCCCGTGAAGACTTCCATCATCTTCTCGAGAATGCCGAGTGACGAATCGCGCGGCATTTAAACGGCCAAAGCCTTGAAGCCGTTCCAAAGTAGACGGAATGACGCGTCCCGCCGGTCCGCGAGAAACGTCGTGAGCTTGGCAACGTTATTGTTGCCAATTGCCAGCTGTTACCGAATACCGCATACCGGCTGCGCACACCTGGACGAGTTACGCCAACTCGTCGGTGCGTCGCGTCGATTCAAAGTTGCGTCACATTAATACTGAGTACGAGAAATAAACGAGCAAAATTTCAACTCTCAGCCGAAATACATCGCGCGCCACGGATATAAACAAACGGAAATACACGTGCGGTAAAATTTGAAATAAAACACGTTAGCGCAATACACAATAAAATATATTAATTTGCGCGTGTCTTTCTCTTCTTATAAACGTTTTTATTCGATATTTTGAAATATTTCAGGGATATGTGATTCACGCGGATGATGTGATTCTCTAGAATATTGTGGAAATATTTTGACAAATATTGAGAAACATCGAAATTATTTCTGATGATGTTATATGCGTGTGTGTATGTGTATACAACGTTAAAAGCTGCATAGCAGAGAAGGCTATTAAATATCGTTGCAATAACGTTCTTTCAATGATTTCTTGCTCACTGTTTGCGAATCGACGGTGAAAGAAACGAGAGAGAAATCAATCAGAATTAAATAAGCATCGTGACTGCTCCTCACGATTATGCCCAATCCTTTCAGGATGTGGACCGTACACTGCCAGAATTTAGTGTTCATCGCCTGTGTGTTCCTGCCCTGCCTCGTGAGAGGCATTCCGGATTATTCCGGGCTGCCACCGGGGTCATATTGCGTCTCGAGGTATCCTGCGAGCAGATGTTGTCCAGGACGTCAGGATGAATGCAGCGCGCCGATCCTTACGACGCTGTGCTACTGTGACGATTTTTGCGATCGAGAGCGTGAAGAGGACTGCTGTCCGGATTATTGGCAGCACTGCAGAGGCATCGTGCCGAACGTCACGTCGCCACCCGAGGAGCTAAGAAGTGCGTATTGATTACGAAAAAATGAGGTGTAGAAAAAATGTCTAAGACATGAAAAATATTTATTCGATGAATACTAATAACGCTTTATCGATACTAATATACATATTTTTATCCCGAAGGAAGAATTGTCTCGATTAATAAAATATACTTTTTTCCGAAATCCGTAACTTTTCCTGAGAGCAACTGTTGATTCTATTTAAATAAAAAAACTTAGATTCACGTAAAATGCGTTATTAGTACTCACCGAATAAATATTTTTATTCTTTAGATATTATATTTTCCCCTATATGTATATGTATATGTAATATAAAAGCACACGATACACATAATGCAGAAAATATATTTTTTAAGTTCGTTAATGCGTGCTTTCAGGATGCTTCTTCCAAGGGAGAGAGTACAATCATGGACAAACGTTAAGAGTTAACTGTAACACATGGTAATACTTGAGTCGCTCCTTCTGACGCGATGCCGTTGAGACGAGAGGCACAGATCGTCTAAATTTGTTTTATGTCGCAGTAAATGCTCCTCGCTCGGTAAGCGCGCCGAAGTGCTCTGCGAGGAGAACCGATGCTTGATCGAGCAGGAGTTAATGGATGAAGTCAGCTTGCAAGGACCAACCTTGGGATGGCAAGTGGGCAATTATTCCGAATTTTGGGGAAGGACACTGCGCGAAGGGGTGGAGCTACGTCTGGGCACTCTTAATCCGTCACAATCCGTAAGTATTAACACAGAGCCGCCAACGCAATTAATTCGGAAAACTCTCCTTCAAGTTAAAAACTTCACATCCACATCACGTATGTATCTTTGCGAAAACATGAAGATGCCAGAAATAGAATTGCTCGTTCATTGAAGTTGAAGGGTCGAAAAGCAAAAAAAATCGTCGTGTAAATTATCGCAAAAATATTCACAAGGTATTCTCCCGAATGTGTCTTCGTTACTTTGATAAAACGTATGATTATTATTATTATTACTGCTACTATTATTTGAGATCCAAGAGAAGATAAACTTGAGGAATAGTTTAAGATCTTCGTGGCGCGGGGACGGAACTCTCATTATAGCCCGATGAGTTCGAAGTAAGGCAGCCTTGCTCTGAAAACGCCGCGACCGTGTATAGGACGCAAAATTGCCTCGAAAGATTAGGTCAATTGCTCCGCTTGTGCAACTAAGGCTAAAGTTCCACGGCTAAAGTAATCTCTCCTGTACTTCGCTGCGGGGGTTTAATGAATAAGAGAGCGTGTGATCAACGTCGCTCGTGGGTGATGCTCGATCAAGATTGTCGGTCGAGTCTTCCGTCTTTCGCAGCTCGTGCAGCCCGAATGCCGATCTTTCCGAGTCACAAGCAAACCCCTCCTCGTTTCTATCAGCTGACAAATGAAAAAAGGTCTCTTGACCGACAAAACGGAAGTTCTCCGTCCAAAAGTTACCTCTCCGCCCGCAGATGTACAAGATGAACCCAGTGCGACGTATTTACGATCCGGACGCGCTGCCACGGGAATTCGACTCTAGGACACGCTGGCCACGCGACATATCTGACATTCACGATCAAGGATGGTGCGGCGCGTCCTGGGCCGTGTCCACCGCTGACGTCGCGTCCGACCGATTCGCGATCATGAGCAAGGGCGCTGAAGATGTGCAGCTGAGTGCGCAGCATCTGCTTTCTTGCAACAACAGAGGACAGCAAGGTTGCAGGGGCGGATATTTGGATCGTGCTTGGCTCTTCATGAGGAAATTCGGGTAATTTCTTTCAGTTTAGCACTATTGCGCCTATTACTCTCTCTCTCTCTCTCTCTTTTAAAGCTATAATATTCTTTCCGTGTAATTTTTGTCCACATCGTAGATTATATTCCATTTCATTTCATTAAATTACGTGCGAGTGGATGATCTTTTGGTGAGAGCGTGCTTTTAACAAATCGTTCTTGTCCTAGACTGGTGGACAAGGAGTGCTATCCTTGGACCGGTAAGAACGATCAATGCAGATTACACAAACGAAGCAACCTAAAGCTCGCCGGCTGCCGAAAGCCGCCGAACTCCCTGAGACAAGAATTGTACAAGGTCGGGCCGGCTTATCGTCTAGGCAACGAAACTGATATTATGCAGGAGATCCTGACTTCCGGACCTGTGCAAGGTATGTATGCCGCAGTCAGGATTTAAACGATCCTTGATTAAAATTCTGGGATACATGTTATTCGTGTTTAAAATCATTGCGCGCAAATGCAAATGCGTATGGAATATCGAAACATGAATATCTCATGACTGAAGCTTAGAATTATTATATTTATTCGGTAGTTACCGATAGTATATATTTACTTATATGTTAACTTATATATATATAATTTAAAAAAAAAGAAAAAAAAAGATTTTTTTTTTAATTGAGAATAGGTTTTTTTTCTACTGAGAAAACGTACACATTTCTTTAAAACTATACTTTTCATGAAAGTAATCGTTCATTTAAATATATTTAAATGAAAAAAAAATTAGATTTAAGTAAATTTATTATTAGCGCTTACCGAATAAATATTTTTCTCTCAGTGTAGAGACAAACTCAACTGTCTATTCCTGCGTTACTAGAGAACATGGCAAAATTGATGAGAATTTCATATAAAAAAAAGTTGTAATATTCTCCTTGTATTGTTTTTTTTTTTTATTAAATTGAAATACGTACGTATGTGAATAAACTTGTGACTTGTGTAAATGGTTTTGATTACAAAAAATTTCTCTCGTCGTAACTCTTTAGAGAAGTGTATCGAAAGTGTGGAAATTTGTTTCAGCCACCATGAGAGTCTACCAGGACTTCTTTATTTACAAGAACGGAGTGTACAGGCACTCACGGAGCGCGGAATTGCACGACTCGGGTTATCACTCGGTGAGAATAATCGGATGGGGCGAGGAGCCGTCTTATCGCGGTCCGCCACTCAAGTATTGGGTGAGTTTGCGCAACGGCACGTTTATGTAATACCGTGTCCCAATTAAGAAAAAAAGATATTACACCGACACAATATGTAATTACGCGTAATTATCTGTTGTCTGATGCGATACCGATTGTAATTTCTTGTACGATACGAATATCTAAGAACGCTTCTAATCTCTCGGGTGTTCTTCATGCGTATCTTCAGAAACAACACATGCGTATCTTTTGTACAACACTTACGTCTTTACGTCTGTGTGATTTTTACTTTTTCATTTTATTTTCCTTCCCTTTCCGCTCCATTTTATTATTTATTTTCTTTTCCCTTTCTTCTCACAACCGAAGCAATCTTCTTTTCCCTACTTGTTTCAGTTGGTTGCGAACTCCTGGGGACACGATTGGGGTGAGAACGGACTCTTCAGGATCCAAAGGGGAGCGAACGAGTGCGAGATCGAATCGTATGTGCTGGCAGTTTGGGCTAAGACAATATAAAGATCATGAAGATAAAACCAAAGTACTAGAATATCCGATTGTCATAATCACTGTTGGTGCATTTATTGAATCTCTTGGCCGGCCGGTCGATATGCAATGGCCGTGATTGCGCCGTGGACGAGGAGCGATATATCGATGCTGGAAAGTATGTGATCCATGTGCCTCCGTATACGCCTTATTACACGTAAGATCGGGAGGGTCGGGGGGTTGTTCATAGATATTTAATATAAGTACGAACTCGCACCTAATCGAAAGAGCGCCACCGTTATTCCTTCGGCCGCATTATTCGTAGACAACAGTAATCGCTTTGCACGCTCGGAGGTCGATATTTTTCATATATTATGCAAAAGAAAACGGGAAGGAAAACGGAAATCACGCGTCTCTCACGCGTAATATCGCGCGTCAGACAGTTCGGACGCGTGACGAGTATACTAAGTGCCAAACGCTTGAAATAAATTTTCTAAGTACACAAACGTTGCGAAACGTTCCCTGCATCCGTTCCTCCCATCGAACGACCTGTCATGTCGCTACACTACTACGTTGAAACGAACGTTTTACGCGATTTCAGCGAGGGTTCTTTTCGGTGAATATAAAGTAGAGCCTCGCCGTGTACTGTCGATAAGTCCTCTCCGCATTCTACTTGAAAATAAATATACGTGCGTCCTCGATACGTGTCCGAGAAGTGCCCACAAAGTAACTGGCAGTGTGACGTATATCGGTACCATGAATTGTGCCTGAATATCGGAACGTCCGATTTCGCATACGTCGAAATAATCATGCTAGGTAGACGTCGTAATTCTTCTCGGGCTCCTTCTCGGCACCGTCCTCGAAGGATCGAGTCGGTCGGGTAAACGGAATCCACATGTTGGACATTTGCGTGCACAGCACACGGTATTAGGCACTCGAGGAATGATTGTGCACGTTGCGTTACTAATCAGAGGGAACTCTCTCGCGATGACTTTACCGTTAGACCACGACGCTTCGCCGGTTGCTCTTGCAATGAGGACTGTAGACCTCCAGTTTGTCCCGTGGTGTGTTCATCGCGGAGTAATCGATAGGGAACGGTATGGTGTTACCCCGGATCAAGCAGGAGTCCGTCATGCCTAGGAAATGTTCCCCGGGACCGAAGGGACCGCGGCCGAACAAGAAGTTAGCGAACACCAACTGATACTGCACCCAGCCGAGAGGATGATCTCCATTCTGAAAGCAATTTCTTGCCTAAATCTCCCGGGCGAATTTCTCGAACGAAATAATGAAACGCGAGAGAATCGGGTGATCCTCCGTGTCCGGCGAAATTGAAAAGAGAAGGAAAAACGAATTTCCAGATCGGATGAAATTAAATTCCGCGGACTCACCTGCGCGTTTGCTGTATAATTGAAATCTTTAATTTGAAATGTAACTTTATATTTTCTTTTGGTAATTATGTGTTTAAGAAAACATGAAGAGCTGTAGGAGTTGAGGATAGAAATGTACAAGGAAAATTAATTTCTATGCTAACGTCGCGCTCACACGTGTTATGATTTTAATCAATAACTGACTTAATTTACCGAGGTCATAGAGTCGTACGCGGTATCCAGGCACTTGTTTATCCTGTCGGTGTCCAAGCCAATCACGGAGCTGTAAAAGGCCGAGAGTTCCTTCTTGCTGATCATCCCGCTTCCGGATCTGTTTATCGCGAGGAAGAACACTCGCGGCATAACTTTGATCCAAAACTGCATATCATTGTAACTGGCGCCGTCCGGCGGCGCGACGATCTGCGCCCACCAGGATAGCCAGTCGTCGAGATCGATCTTCCTGTCCGATTCCACGGGGGGTCCCTTTTTGTCCTGCAGGATCAATCCGGCGAATCCGTTCTCGATTTCCAACAGCCTCAGGTACTCCGGACCGTTCCACGACCAATCTGCGAATCTCCTCAAACGCTTTTCAGGGCAAAAGAACAATGTATTATTTTTTTATCATGAGTGCCTCTAGATTCGCCAACTACCAACCGCTAACCAATCAATAGTAACGTAACATTAATGTTATAATTTTCCACTCGACAATGTAAATGCAATATAATGTATGTGTTACGCAACGGTTATATTGCTGTGTGGGAAATTAAAACATTAATCAGCGTTTGCCCTAGATGATTTCTAGATAAAGATGGTCGATTTATTCATCTGGATGATTATTTAGATAATTTTATCTAGATACCGGCAAACACTGACATTAATGTCAAGTTAACTATTAGTTGGTGTTTATACTGGGATGGAAGTCGAATCTGTGACTTTACCTCTGAAAGTATCGCGAAGTCCTTCCTGCCGACGTAGCCGTCTCTATCGTGGTCCAAGAGATACGTGAAGAAATGCGAGAACTTATCGCGTTGTATAGGAGCTAAGGCCTGCGAGCCGTCGCTTTTACTGAACTCGTTGATCGCAGACAAACTGTCGTCGCTCGGGAAGCGGCTCACCCAAGTAGCTAATGAAAATCAGATGTATGACATAATTAACTTATAATATAACTGATTACAGTACATATACTGTATACAAAATCGTATTATTATACCATCTAATTAATTACGGCGTAATTATACATTTAAATCTAATTCAATTCAATTCAGTCAAATTTAATTAAACTCAATTCTAATATCTTAATCCGCGATAATGAAAATGACGCACAGCTGACAATGTTAATGAAAGTTACGGTGACAAAATTTAAATTCGGCCAATCATTTTATAATTAAATCTAACTAATTATTTAACCAACGCATTCGACTGATCAATCGTTGCAATACGTCGCCCAGATACTTATGTAAGTAACTATTACGTAACTATTACTTATTATTCATCGCGATTGTATATCACGCGATGCCCATGAGAACCGGTCTCCGCGAATCTCCGATAACAGATCCATCAAGGATCAAGACCAGAGGATCAACCGCAACAGAGGCTCGGCGAGACCGGCCAGGATTATTCTCATACTTACTCCAGACGTGGACACTCCAGCTGGGCTGTTCGAGTTCCGGGACGCTGACGGGCGCTGGACCGGCGATATCCTCGACGTTAGCCGCGGTCGTTCTCCATCGCTTGAGAAGATCCTTGGTGCGATCGCGCGTCCGGTCGCACGCCTGCCGCCAGTTGGCGATGAATTTGCGCGGCACCTTGAGCGAGCTGCCATCCTCCAAGCTGATCTCCTGCTGGCTGCCGAGCGAGCTGCGTTGACTCTTATCCGCTCTGTCTTCGCTGGAGCTCGCAAGCGGCACCGCCGTCCCTGGCGCGTCCTCCGTGTTCTCCGGGTAATAAATCGGGTCCTTTATGCTTCCCGAGCGACTCTCCATGACGGACTACCGCTTGCATACCTAGCGTGTCATACCCGTCGACCCGTAGCCGCGCGTATATTTCAGGGTGACTCTCCTGTTGAAAATAATCAATTCCGCCGGCCGTAGAGAGGTCACCGGGTCGCTCGATATCGCGACCGCGCCGTTTCGTCGTCGTTTCTCGACCCACCGCTTGTACCCGCGATTCGCAGCTACACTGTCTGCATTTCTCCTTTTCCCACGCGGCATAAATATTTGGGTTACGCCTTGGAGGCATGTCCATGCACATAAAGCAAGAAGGATATCTTTCGGATGTCTTTAAAATGTCTTTCGGACACTGCTGAGAGCTGTCTCCTCTTCTTTTCCGTGATTGACGACCGGTTTTTTTTTTTTATTTTGAGAGCCTAAAATGACGTGTGTAATATTTGTAAATGGAAAAGTATGTCTGTTGTCTGAAGTAAAGCTCAAGGGATGAATCGTGAGTGATCGTGCGGTGAGAAGGAAGACTGCTTGAACGAACAAAATTAGCGATTTCATGAACGAAATGCATCTCAGCAAACGCGAAGAATCCTTTGAACGAAGAGTAAGACGGAAACGGCGGGGAAAAAAGAACGATAGAAAAAGAAATTGCAGTCTTAATATCAAAAGTGAAACAGAGAGAAAAACACGTTTTACATATAAGAAAAAATTATATTTCTCTCTCTTATTATATTTAATTATATTTTATTGAGTAAATTTAATATTTTAATTTCATATATTTTTACATTTTATTTCTTATTTTATTTAATCGTATCTTTTATTTATTATTTACAGACAGATTTTTATTTTATATTTCTTGTAACTTATTCGATTGTATTTAAATAAGTTTCGGAGGAAGAATGTGAGCACGAGCGTGGCATAATAGCGCACTATAAAGATCCCGGCTTCGCTTCTCGGTAGAACCAAAATATTTGTATACACTCGTGCAAAGGGCTGCAGCGCCAAAGAAAGGAAGAATGTAATGATAAAAGTTTGTCCGGTAACATTTTCTTAGAAAACTGTAAAAGACAAAAAACCATATCATATGAGCGATACATTGAGTTATTAAACATTCAATACAAATAAACATTCTGCTATTTTGATCTTTAATCTTTAACATTTTTAATCTACCGTTTCAATCCTTCTTCTTTTTCTTCTTGTAAATACGTAATTGTAAGTAACCAAAGGTACTCGCTCTACACAAATACTATTTTGCAGATGCACGTTCTGTCTATATAATTATATATGATTTTTAGTATATACTCCAATGAAAAACGAGATCAGAGGACCGTTACTTTCAGATAGTAAAACTCAGACCCCTGGAGGTTGATCAGAAATCTCCTCCTCTAGCGTGAATGCGTGAAAAGTATAAATTCTCCAATTTGAAAACATTTGGAATTGTCATTTTTCACGTTCCCGCCTTAAGGAAAAGTCACGTGTCGATGTCCTGAGCGAATCAAATTGATCGACAAACGTTTGTGCATTTCAGGTCGCTGGTCTCAGAGGTCTCTGAGAACGATGTAGGGAGAAAACGTTGAGTTTGTCTATCTCATCCGTTATTACGTACAGCCTGCTGCCATCACGGTCGGCGAGCGGCAGCCACGTTCTTTCTCCTGCTTCGCTCGGTTGAGGTGAGTTAGTTCGTCGAAAATCGTATTATATCATTAACATCTTAGGTTTCCGCATGAATCACGACATAAGGGAGTTGAACTCTAAATTTTCCTGACCAGAATATTGTGTTATTTTTCGTATATTTTCGTAACGAACGGCCGTATATCCGGTGTAATGTATAAATGCTAACCTCGAAAATGTTTGTCCTGTGCTTGAAAACAATCATTCGTATTTTTCTCTTGTATTTTTTCTCTAAATTTCGGATGCACACGTGAATATCTCGAAATCTGCTTGTATACGCTCTTAGAGAAAAACATATATAACGATTTGTGGCTGTATACGGAGAAATTAGTATCGTATAGTATCGTATACATATAGTGCCCGCATCCTAAATAATGCACATTATTTCAAGATCCGTTGATCATTTCTGTGCAGGGATTCGCGATGGGGGCATATAAGTATATGCAAGAATTGTACCGTAAGAAGCAAAGCGATGTGCTTCGCTTCTTGCTGCGTGTTAGATGCTGGCAGTATCGCCAGTTAACAAAGATGCATCGTGCTCCTCGGCCCTCAAGACCTGATAAGGCTCGTCGTCTGGGCTACAAAGCCAAACAAGGTTAAGTTATTATCCGATTCATATTAAATTGCAGATATACTCGATAAAATTGAATATTCATGTAAAAAATATTCAAATCAGAATTTTTATCTCAAAGTAAATAACAGGTATGTTTTGTAATAATATTTTTCTTGTACAGACGCGTGCGGTGCAAAAATCTTTCTTTTGATGTATATGTGTGAAATTTGTGGCGATCGTTGATTTTCCATTCTTTCCTAAAACCTAACCTATTTATATGATGACCTGCTATGTCTCTTACTTGGGCGGGATGCGTTTAAAAAAACACAATGGTTGAGTGAGCGCTCGCTGTTATTGTATTATTCTTTTAGATTTTACCGTGAATCGTAAGGAATATGTCGATCAAAGGCAATAATCACTCAACGGTACGACTGTTGTGATTTCTGAACTCATCTTTCATGGGGATATAAACCCGAGGACTATCGCTGATCCCAGATTATTATATCATGATAAATTTGATCCCAAGAGTAGGATATAAACATGTGAACTTTTTTGCAATACAGGTTTTGTCATCTTCAGAATCCGTGTGCGTCGTGGTGGACGCAAGCGTCCGGTTCCCAAAGGAGCAACCTATGGCAAACCCAAGAGCCATGGTGTTAATCAGTTGAAGCCAACTAGAAAACTGCAGTCAGTTGCTGAGGTAAGATATTGAGTAACATGAATACAACTAAAATTACCTGAACAGCCTTATATGAATCTGAACTATGATGAACCTATGCACCACTCTTACGCTTAAATGAAGATGAATATATTATTCTGAGGAATGAAGTAATTTCAATCGTTTGTTAATCTTCGTCACTAGTATTCGTCTCTTAACAATTGTTTTGTTAACAATTTGTTTCAGGAACGTGTTGGCCGTCGTTGTGGTGGATTGCGAGTACTGAATAGCTATTGGGTGGCCCAGGATTCCTCGTATAAATATTACGAAGTCGTTTTGGTCGATCCCGCACACAAGGTAATGTATAAAACTGATCTTTGTTACAAATGTTAACTGCTATTATCTCAAAAATCACAAGCATCTCGTCACAAACATTAAATATGCGAAACTCGACATGATGACGCTTTTATACCACCAATGAGATCTAATAATAGGATAATGATTCTTTAATCCTTCCTTGGATGTCTGAAAACGAAATAAAGCTCTAACAGAATTAAGACGATTCGTTTGAATCCTAGTTCCTGATCGACACTTTTCGTTCTGTTTCAGGCAATCCGTAATGATCCGAAGATGAACTGGATATGCAATGCAGTTCATAAGCATCGTGAGCTGCGCGGTAAGACTTCCGCCGGCAGGAGCTCACGCGGTTTAGGTAAAGGACATCGTTATTCGCAGACGATCGGTGGTTCCCGTCGTGCCGCGTGGTTACGGCGAAATACATTATCTCTTCGCAGAAAGCGATAATATTATTTGTAATAATATAAAAAATAAAATTGACGATACACAAAACTGGCGGGAGAAAAAAACCCATTTTCCTTGTGCGCGCGCTATGTATAATTCACTACGGAAGCTTCTAATACCAGAGACATATATAATTCAGTTTATTTGTACTCTGTAACGTACACAATTCAAAACAATATAAAACAGATAAATAACGAGGACAGGAATAAAATCAACTGGTTTCTTGCGTTATATAAAGCAGAGCTCGGCGAGCGTTGCACATTTCAGCCGATTTTCGTCAGACTCCGTTTGTCGCTATTTTTCAAGTGCCGTTTGAAAATCAGGAACATGGCTAATGAACACAGAGGTCTCCGTATTACTTGAGATACCATTGTTTTTCATTTTTTTTTCTTTATTAAGCGATACCCTCCTGAGTCTCGAGTGGCACTTTGACTGCGTACGGGGCGATGAAGTAAAAGGAATAACGGTAGAAGCCAGCCAAAAATCGGCCGATATGTGCAACACGAACTCTGACATAAAATAATAAAATCCTTGATTCTTAAGTAATAAAGTTTAGAACATTTCAGTTTAGACGAACGAAACTCATTGCCCAGGCCCAGACAATGATTTATCCATGAACTTCTTTTTTGCAAAGCAAAGCCACCATTTGCTTGGCTTGCCATCCTCGCCATATACTTTCTCAACGATCCTAACGGCTGTTTCCTGCCTGATTTGATGGAGATACTGTCTCATAAGATCTTAAATTAAAAATATCAATTGATATAGAAACGTGTGATTGTATTCAATATAATACATTCCCAAATTATTTGATCGTTCCACTAGTTCTTAATGCTTACCAGCTTCAGCAGGACTACTTGGTTTAGCATATACAGAATTCAATGGGAAACCAGGATCACCAGGGACATCGAATTTCGAGATAGCTAGTGAAAACATCTCGTTCATAGCTTGCGGCTGGGTCGCACATTTTTGCAATTTCTTTAGACATTCGGTGATAAACAGAGTAATATAGATCAGAACTCTGTCGGCCTCGCTCTGCAACAAAGATACAATTTGATGTACATATAATTGATTCTGTTTCACAACAGTGAGTTTCTAAATAAATGCACCACCTTAATTTCGTACGTCCTAAAGAACACATTGGCTTTGAAGAAATATAATGCTTCATCAATTATATCTTGTTCCTTGTTGTTAAAAGGAGGGGCAGGACCTCGGAATGTGGTCTTGATTGGCAGAAGAGCCATGTTTCCGATGGTGCCATGGCTCTTTGTAAAACTCGAATGATACGCCTGAATATAAATGGAATTTAAATGGAACAGAAGGCTTCAGTCTAATAACGCTATGATGTTAGATTGTAATCAAATTAAACATATGACTAATCCATCTTACTGCGATGGATTTGCAAAGATACTTTCAATTTAGTAGATTATCGTATCACATGTTATTTAGAACGGAAATAACAATCCGCTGAGGTTGAATTGCATTTAATAGATGTAGTGGATGTTTGTATGTAAACGTGGTTACAAAAGTGTATTTTAAGCTGAGGAAAGGTGACATTATTCTTAGGTTACGCTACACAGACAACGCCCCGGTGATAGTACTCAGCTTGAAACGTTATTCGCTTGCGTTAGCATACGATGCAAAAACTTACAGGCATAACAGCAATATAATCTTTTCCTAAAAGTTGTCCGTTCTATCGCGATAACTCATAAATGGTTTAAACTACGAGATCTCACGAAATGTCAAAGCTAGCTCGAATAGCAGAACTTGCTTCCTGGGGAACTTGCTTTCTATAGAGAATAATATCTCTCTAGAAAACAAATTCAGCCATTGGATATGCAACAGATGTTCCGTTCTATGACGAGCCGATATCCAATAAGACAGTTCGTTTCCTAGAAACGAAGGTGCCGCTAACTGAAATCTTCAGAAAGCGGACCATTTTTATCGCGTATCGGACACGTTGCGTGCCGAAAGTCGAATGCGGTGTCGTTCACGATAAATATGAATTCTTCGAGCCGCGTTCGAAAATCTAGCTCGACGGGAAGAGTAGCATCTAATTGGCCAATGAGGACAAGAACGGCAAAAATGTTCTTTATCGTGATTGGTTAATTGATTATACTCTATCCGTCGAGCAGGATCTTGGAATGCAACGATGTTGGCTCTCTGTTTTCAAGAAGTACCTATTCGTGTTAGATTGGCGATGCTGAGTTCAACTGTAAATTCGAATTCTGTCCCGGGTTTACACGTCGAAGTTTGTGTTTAAGATATTGACGCGTGACGTTGAGGAAGGCTCGAACGTCCGCTGATCATCACAAGAGAGAAAGCAAGTAAATTCTTATCTCGTATAGTTTTGGAATGAAAGTATCGTCACGAGTAACCTTGTATACTTTTCGTAGATTGAAGACACTTGTCGAGACTACCGTTTGAAAATTCTGACGAGACATGAATCCGAACTCGGCTGGTCGAATTAGTGAACACAGATTGTCCACTAATCCCGTGAGAATATCCTTATTCGACAGGGAGGACAAGAACTCGGCGTGGAACGATCGGCGAAGGACGCAAACGAAGTCGAAGGGGCCCGGCGAGAATTCTCACATTCCCAGACCTCGTGTTCGGAGTTCCTCGAGCGAACGTGTAAGCGGCAGTAGGATATCGTATTTAAAAGTTCCAGGTAAAAACAGCACGTTGGTTCACATAAGTGAAATCTTAAAATTGACATATGTAAACATTGATACAGGGATCTTGTAATTATTAAAATATATACATAGGTAGAACCCCGCTGCGTCAACCGACAACTCCGGCTACACCTGCTAGAGCCTCTATCAAAGTTAATTTGTCAAGTTCAGCAGCTCCAAGTTCAGGCAGACTTCATGGATTAGCAATTGGTCGGTCGCCATCCGCCGAGCGTGCCAAGGGTGTCAAGAAGGACACGAGACCCTTGACAGACAAGTCCTATCAGGCCATGTTGCTTGTCAAGATAGACGATTACTTCCATGTAAATCAGCAATCTTCCATGCTGAACGGCAATGGCAGTTTGAAACCGATCACGTTGAAAATGTTCGTGGAGGTTTCCAATTATCTCGTGGAATTCTTCGAGATCAAGTCTGAACTCACGGTCATGAACTACGTCGAGCAGTTACCACAAATCGCGAAGAAGCTGCATTATCCTGGTGTGATGACCAAGTCGTGGCTGAAAACTGCCAATACGATGCATTCGTGGCCTTACGTCCTTGGCTGGATCGGCTGGTTGACAGAAGTGTGCCAAGTGCAAGCACTCGCTTCCACCATGTATCAGATAGAGACTCTGCCCTTTGTGGGAACGGAACAACAGGCGCACAACAGCAGGATAGAGCTTCTGACACTGTTGGAGTCCTATCAGGCGTGGAACGAGGAAAAACTCGACAGGGAGAATGAATTGTTGGACAAATATCTGCGAGACATCGAGATCCAATGGGGCGTCAGCGAGGAAGACGTCACTCTAGCCCGCAGAGAACTGGAAGAAGAGACTAGAAAGTTCCAAGCGATGGAGGAAGAGTCGAGGAAGGTTGACGAGGAGGTGGATCATTTGCAGACGATACTGTTCTCTTTGCAGGCCAAGGAATCGAAACAAGTAAATGATGTTATGACAAAGGAAGAATATATAAAGAGGATTACTGCTGAGACGGGCAAATTGAGTGCTGAGCACAAGACTTTGAACGAACAGATATTGCAGGCGGAGGAGCAGCACAAAGAATTGGTCTCGATCGTGAGGGACCAACCTATATCTAAGGCCGAGAAAGAGACGATTCTGAAGAAGTGCACAGAGTTACAGAATTACATACACGACTTCGACGAGCATCTCAGGGATTACCAGAAAGAGCTATATACTTTAGACATCAAATTAGCGTCCATTAGTAACAATCTCAATAAAACCGTGCTGGCGTACAACAAAGAGATCTTTATGTACATCGATAACGACGTCGGCTTGGACTTCAACGAATTGAAATTGCCAGAGGAAGGATTGCTGAATCCGGACATAATAGAGGTATTGGAAGAGAAGATTACCTTGATGAGGTCCTTCAAAGAATCGCTGAATAAGCAGTGCAGTAACACGATAGCGCTGATTCTCTCGGACACTGTGAAACTGGAGAATATACAAGAGGAGATCAATTCCCTGCCGGACGACGTGAAGTTACGCGAGGAGAAATCCCATCGCATCGACAAGATGAAGACGGAGATAAAAAAGGAGAAGGCCAAATTGATGGAGCAGATAGAGAGAGAGAGAGACGAGATAAAAGAAATTGAGGATACGACGCCGGATATACAAACGGTGCAACTCGAGATAGAGGAAGCGAACGACAAATTGGAGGCGATTATTCGAAGGATGAAGTTCCTCGAGCAATCCGGGAAACGATTCTTCGACCAATTGTATCAGGTTCTCGGTGAGCACAGAAACGAGCTTTATAGTCTGTTAACAAGAAACGAAAAAAATTAAAAAGGATATAGCATTGCGTTTCCGTATTATAAGATTTTATCATTATTATCATAAAAATATACGCGTCGCGCGTAATACGCATTTAATGTATAATTTTAGCATAGAAAAAAAAGAAAAACATTTTTTATTTCAAATAAGGCATTTAATATTAATATGTGCGCCCTAAAAGCTCCCTCTCTCACTCGTCTGTCGTGCTCTCACGCATGAATAAGATATATATATATATCTGTCATGTAGATCTACATACACACATATTCCTGTATCTCCCTTTTTTGCCAAATGATGCAAAAAAAATAATCTGTATGTAAAATAGTTTTATTCTATTTAGTTCTATATGTCATGACAATGTGCAATTCGCATTGTTTTTCTTCCCTTTTACGATACAAGATTTAACATAATCTGTCGAGTTACAGTTGAAACGACGTCATACGAACTTCATACGACCGTGATGTTACACAATACTTCGATAATCCACGAATAACAAAAGATGTTATAACGAATATTACATATGTATATGTGCTACATACAAGAGACATTACGTCTGAAATAGGAGCCATGGTATACCAACGAGCAGCGTATCTTCGTCCCGATGGTACGACAAAATGCCCCACGTACCATGGCTGTAAAAGAGATTCATCTTCAAAGAGAATTAATAATACTCTTCACATATGCTTTCGTCGCATCGCCTAATTATATCACGAGTAATTGATCTTCCATTGAGGAGTAACTTTCCAACTAGCTCTCTCTCTCTCTTTCTTTCTCTGATATTTACAGTTGTGTTTTGAATTTCGACGATTTTAACACTAACGTTAAAAAATGTTCCACTCGAGACGCAATGGAAAGGTATGGTCATACGAGTAATATGAAATAACGCTCTAACTATTGGAATGTGAACTGCACCTGTATGCTCTCTGTTACTTTTTTTTTCATGTATTGCCTTCGCTATCATTCACTGCCTATTCTGTTATTGCGGCATGAATCGGTCATAATCGTTATCACACTTCCAAAGTCACTCCTCAATTACGTTTGTGAAATGTATCGTTTACGCTATATAACTAGGTCCCACTGCCGTTTTATACCTTATTTTTAACATGTTATATACATATGAAACACAGTAAAGACAGTGTGTGTGTGTATGTGTGTGTATGTGTGTGTGTATGTGTATGTGTGTGTGCAATGTCGATAAAATGCAACATAAAGTGAAGCAACTGACACGATCGCTTTTATAAATTCGTCAGAGATTTCGTTCTTTCACTGCAAATAAAACTAAAGACAATTCAGGACAGCTCTCTTTCCCGATTGGCTCTTTTCGCTAGCTTTACATAAGACAAAATTAACGAATGAGAGATTTTTCATTCATTATTCCGTATATCCATACATCTAATTCCCCAAATTATACGTCACATTCTCAATTGAGTGAAAATAGCAGTTACACGCAACCAGATAACATTAACTTCCACATATAAAAATACAAGCATTTATTTTATTAATTTTATCTTATGTTGAGCTTTTTATATATATATATTATATATTACCTTATACATTTTTACATAATGCATACGGTTATGCATCGCTCGTTTTTGTCACTCTCTTCCGATCTAAAGAGAGATCAGCCTACACATAGCACAGCTGTCTAACTAGACGCTCGCGATCGACTATCCCGCTGTGCGTTTTTCACCGTTTTTTCACGAAAAAATAAAGAGAAAAGGAGAGCGAAGCGATCGTCTGCGAGTATGTAATTAATTCCGGCCTATACATATAACGCATGTATATTCGTTTTTATCAACGTTCCCTCCTATGATATTCTTCATTCTTCCTTATTGCGGACTATCGTCAGATAACTATGAGATCATTTACGTGTTGTGAGAATATATCTGCTTTGACTATTGAAGAGAAGATTAACGTATTCTATCTGCATCCAAGCGCTTTACATGAACAACTGTTGACGAACTGGTAGACGCTCCATGAGAGCGATCTCGTACGTAAAATTAAGAGATAACTACGTACATTTACAGTAATTTTGTACTAATACTTCGAACGCTTACAAGAAATGATTAACACACTTAATAATATATTATACTCACGTAAATAGAATATAATATTCCGTAATTCGTTACGCTTGTCGTCATCTATACTACAAAAATTTAACAGAACTATTTCTAAAAAATACGATTTAAAAGTCTTCGACGCAAGACGTCCTATATATATATAAAATCAGCTTTTTTTTTAACATGTACAGCGAAAATTGAATTAAAGGCTTTTTGATGAACAATCAAATGAAGAGAAGATAGTCCGATGAAAGCCCAAATTCTGTAATGAAATTTTAAATTTTATAATAAAATTTATTGATTAAAATTTATCATGTGCACCACACACATAAGAGTGATGGATTCATCAGAACTTAGGCTCTCTCATCGGTCCGCCCACTTTTCACCGAATGCACAGCAATATTACACCTAAACATTCGCTAAATTATGCGATTCACTGTTATGTCAAATGTCAGGCGAGTAAAAACTTACATCTGTCTCTGAACGTTTTTCTCGACTTTCCTATTTCGAAAGGAAAATATAAAAGGCTATTATATTTAGGCTATTTTCCATCAGTACTCACTTATTTCGATGCATTCTTGAACTGTACGAAGATGTAACAGTCTGTCGCTGCGCATTTGGCTTTCTAATCGTAAGGATGGTAAAAAACCAGTATGCAAAATAGATAACGGTCCTCGTATCATTGTATGTACAACTGGCAAGTTAACGAGATACCTTCGGATATATAAATGTAATATTCGCCGGCTTGTACGTTTCAATTTAACGCGTTAAATGTTCAACTTATTCTTACAGAGGCATTACATGCATATTATCTCAGCATAAACTGATGTTCACAAAAATCGTAGGACAGACATAATTTAAGATATGCAGTTCGTGTTTGTTTATATGCACACATATACATATATCAAAGGGAAAATTTGTCCCATGTGTATAAATGCATATATTCATAAGACGTGCAAGATTGTGCGATTAATGTGCATGAAACGAAGTAATAACTCTGTTATTTTTCGCTTGTTGTAATTTGATATATTGTTAATCGAATATATTCCATTAGAAAAATTAGAAGTGATTCTTTCAAACTCCGGAAGCAATCTTAACCAAGTTACGCTGCCTCACTTTTATAATCGACGAAATTTATTATTATCATTTTATTAATTTTAATAATTATTAATTTTGCAGAGATACTTAAGGTGTATCGAGTCATTGCTCCGTCTCCTGTACATATAGAATTTAAACGTGAGAAATATTTTTATATTTTTTATGAAAAACTTGCTTTTTTCNACAGATGCTAAATCACATAATTTGTTTTCAGTGACACAAATTAATCGTTAACATGATTTAAAATTTAACTAAATTTGTATATTCTTTTGTATCACGACGCAAAATATTTACAAATATTCAGGTAATAATGAATATATCATATATAAATTCCACTTGATTTTCAGTATATAATATAATAATATAATGCTTTCCTAAATGAATTTAATGTTATATATATATATATATATATATATATAATTTTGTATAATAAGAGGACTGATTACAGCTTAAACGAAATCATAAGCAGCATCGAGTAAGTGAGAAGTTACTTATTACCGTTCAGTCATTACCGTTATCCCTTTTTAGTAATAATTCAAGAGGTCATTCCTTTTGGTTGGTAACGGTTATTTTGAGAAATAACAAAGTAACGATCACGAGTTAAGAAAGTAACTCACCCGATCCTGGTTATAAATGTGCAAATGCGAACAATCAGACTCTCTTTTCTTACTGCAGTTATATATCGTAGAACTTCTTCGCTCTCTCTCTTTAATACATTACGTACTTTTGATTCTTATATTCTTGTATCCCAACATATCTGGTCGGGATNCCCCCCCCCCCTTCACCCCACATTATTTACACATTTCTTCACTCGTCACTATCTACTCTTCGGCATGAATTGCACGTTCACACGTGATCAATCGCGACGATTGTACATTTAAATACTTTGTCACACATCGATTTGTATATCGCTGTCTTCCGCCTCACTTTCAGTACTAACCATAGCGTCCTCCCCCACTAATAGCGCGGCAGGTAAGTTCTGCGGCACATTGTCAATGTCTAATCTCGGAGTGGAGTATACATTTAAAACTTGTATCGTTGTAGGGGACGTTGAAAGGCACTGCGGCACGGCTCCAAGAGGGTCTCCGCTTAGCGTGTCGCAGTCCAAAGAAGTGGATAATTGTAGTTGTAAATTATGAAGTTCAGGTATGTGTGGACGGATCTGGAAGTATATGAGATATTAGACGAGGCATGACGAGAGATACGTACAGACACTTCCCGGTCTTCATGGTTTTTATATGTATCACGCTTGACGAAATTACGCACACAGACTTTAATACGATAAATTAAATCGACACAGTGCGATACCTTCAATCCATCCGCTGTATGAGGATTTCTGCAACCTCTACATCTACATTCTACACAGGGTTTACTTTCGACGTAACAGGGACATCTTTGACCGCAACAGGTGAGTTTCCCGGGTATCGCGGTGGCGTTGCCGCACCTGCATCCTTTTCTTTTGCTCCTAGCTGAACTCGATCGTGGCTTTTTAAAGCTGCCCGACGACTGCTTCAAACAGAGCGATCGTGCGTTATCGCTGGCAATCGTGCGACCAGATGTCACAGATCAATGCAGAAGTGAGCAAACGAAATGTCAACAACAAACATTACTCTGAACGTGTACACGACGGACGAAGCGAGGGATAACGTCTGCATTAATCTTTCTTATGGGACCTAAAAGAACTCCTCGCAACTCGAAACTTTTCTAAGACTATATTAGTATGGAAACGAGAGAGCGATAATAAATAAATAAATAAATAAATAAATAAATAAATAAATAAATATATATATATATACATAATAATGTTAATCGAAAATATATATGTACACTCGACTATTGTTTATAAGTAATTGTTAATTAATGTAAGTCGGAAGAATTATTGTGTATTTTACAAGAGATGTTAAGACAAGGACAGACATCTTTAAGCATATAAATAAAGATTGCAGTACATCGTAAGTCCTGCGAGGTGTAAGATTAACCGAATATCCATTGAAATTACTTTGCTGCCCTTTGAAGATTTTTTCTGAGAGGCGGTCCCATATTTAAGGTGGGAAGACGGAATGCATTTTACCCCTCCTACAGAGCTGTGCTGACTGCCGTCTGTCTCCTGTTGTCCCATCTCCGTATCCTCCGTAGCCGCTGCCTTACGCTTTATCGTAATCTTGTTACCGGAACCAGCGTACATCACGGAATATATGGAGGAGCCGTTCGACACAGTCCGGATTGTCGGCGATTCTAGTTCAACATACAACAGAGATTACTTACATGTTACTTACAAACTAATACATATATGTATATAAAGTTTTATTCACACACACACACACACACACACACACATACATAAATATACACGTCAGTATGAATAAAATTTTGCCATAACCTTCGTTATATGCAACATAAAAGTTTTCAAGATATCTTAGAGACACCAGAAAGAAACTTCTACTTGTTTCAGACACCTTCAGGATGTTTCTAAAATATATTTTCTACCGTCTGAGCATTTATGAATCTTATTATCTTTACTTATGTTGTTATTATGATCTTCTTTATTCACAGAGACTCAACGATACGTTATGTTCAGAGCAAGTTGATTCGTCCTACACACCAGGTATACTTTGGGACATCGCCTCACTGGTCTGTATACTATTAGCCTGGGTCTGGGTGGAGGTGGTACTGGTGTAGACGCACGGTAATATACTGTACGCGGACTTGGACAGGCCAGCGTTGCTTTTGAATTCATCCTTGAAGCCTGCACCTTCCTGGATAAGCTCCATGAGGCTGCTGGCGCCGATGGTGGACGCACCATTGGTCGCGCCGCTTGCTGACACCGAGTGCAGCAAGTTGCGGTAGATGCCGGTGCTGGTGAGGTATTCGCACAGCTTCTTGTAACATTGCAACAGTATGCGGAGCTGCACATTCTCCACGTACTTCTCGTAGTCCTTGCACCAGCCGCACGACGGCTTGAGTTTCTTGCGGCCGCCGCGGCAGCCACGGCATACGTGATGTTGACAGTTGGTCTCGGTCGGGGTGTGCGGCTCGATCAGCAGGTTGGAGCACACGGTGCAGCTGAGACTCTGTCGCAGGTACGGGACTAGCCTGTAAAGGTCCGTCCAAGAGTTCAGGTCGTCGACGTCCGCCTGCAGTACCAGCCGACACGTCGACACGTACAGGCTCGTCGCGTTCATCGTCCGTGCCGATTCGCGCCCGACTCGCTCCGTTTTGCCGGGCTGCTCATGCGAGTTCTCGCACCAACGACGCGGCGTTATCGTTCACTGTGATAAAAACGCGATCGCGCACACCGCGCGTAACCATCCGCACAAACAAAACATCCGCCATGTTTCGGCCTGCGGGATCCCTCAGGTCGGATTTCCACGGCGCGACTTTCGTCGGTGCCGAAACGTCCACTATGCGAAACGCGGTGGGAGTCGTAACGCGAGCCGGAGAATCGTGTTTTCGAGTAGTACGACTCAAGTACTTGGTAGAAGCCGCTTTGTTTTCCGATTGTGCGACTGAAGTAAGAAAGTCTTTTTTATTCTTAATTAGTGTAACTTTACGATGGAAATCGGACAGATGAATTCTTTTCATTTTTCAGCTGCCCGACAGATGTGTTCAATGAACTTTTGAGGTGTATATCACAAGTATTAGGTTAGATTAGAAACGACGAAGTTAGAAAACATGTTGAATTCAGCAATGAATGTAACAAACAAAGGTGCTGCAATGGCGAATGTATTGCGTAGAATGTTTAGCAGAAGACGTAATGTGACAAACAGTCTCTCTGGTATTCGTAACAGATTGAAATTAATGAAAGAGGATGGATTAGGCGTCGAAGAAATGGATGCACAAGACATGAGCGAATTCGAGGCAGATTTTATGAATGTTTCTGAGACCCACAAGATGCATGAAAAGTATGTATTGTATATTTATATAATTTCTTTGCTGCATATTGTAATATATATTTTATCTAAATATTTACAATGTTCTATATTTCCATTTATCTTTCTAATTTGTTCAACCTGTTGTTTATGAAATTATCTTTATGGATATGATTATTAATTCAATTTTACGTCAATATTGTTTACTATACGATAATTAAACCATAAAGACATTAATATTTACGCTCTATATATAACATATATTTTTTATATCATAGAATGTTAATACATAATTTTTGTAAATACATAATTTTTCAGAGAAGTGAAGGTGAGTAAAGAACGTCTTAAACAGAAAATTGTCGCCAGAAAGTATTTTGAAGAGAACGAACCACGTTTTCTTACATTTGAAGAAAAGAAACAAATTCATACATTACATGAATCTAATCCTGAGGAATGGCCTGTTGAGAAACTTAGTGAGAGTTTTCCCGCATTACCAGAGACAATAAAGAAGATCTTACGTTCTAAATGGTCACCACAATCGATAGAAAAGATCATACGATACGATAATATGGCAGTCGAAAATTGGAAGAAGTTCCGTGCAGGAAAGCTCGTAGTAAGTCCTATTTTGCATAAACATCTGATGAAGTTTAAGGACAGGAAGATTATTATGACAGACAGAGAATTGTTGGCAAAGAAATTTGTCCAGCCTAAGCCAAAATTCAAGAAACCAACAAAGCAGTTGTTCTCTAGCATTGTACAGGGTTATTTAAACGAGCAACAGGATGATACGAAAGTGTTGTCACAAAAAGATGACCAAACTCGAATATCTGATATATCCAGTAGTTCCAACCAACATCAGAATCTACTCGCTACAAGTATTACGACCGATGATGTAGTCGCTAAGCATTCAAAGCAACTTGTTTTGAATGAGAAGGAAAATCTCACGTTAAGGTTACGATCAGATTCAGAGGAGAATGGTGTAGCGCTTTATGATGTTAATAATGAAAAAAAGCAGAACAATAATGTCAAACAATTACTTACATTCAACCAGTTTATGAAAGCTGGGCTAAAAGATGCATCTATGTCTCCGGAAGAGAGTGTTACTTTATTGAATGCATATAAAGATTACCTGTACGAAGAGGAGCAAACCAAAGAAGTTGCTGCAACATCCAACAATGTGGCAATCACTGCAGAAAGAAATTCTGCAGTTTCTGAATATGAAGATTGCGATTCGGACGTCGCAGCGAATGATAATTTGACAGATACGCGCATCAAAGTATGGAAGAAGAAAGTAGACACGCAAGGAGATTACCTTAAACCGATAAAGATAACGAAGAGTCTCTATAAACCTGGAATAACGTATCGAATTAGTGATTGTTATTACGACGATGACGGAGAATTTCTGTATCGTATACCGGGTGTACGAAGTTGATTGTTGAAATATTTCGGCCTGAACTCTCTTTTACTGATAAAAATATCTTAAATATGACTTTTCAGCCAATCAGGTGGTTTCTAAACCACTTTTAAGGAAACTTTTATCAATAAAAGAGAGTTTAGAATAGGGGTCTTTGTATTTTATGTTAAAATATATTATAATAAAATATGAAATACCATATAATGTATCAAAATAAAGATGAGAAATATTATATTTTTTCTCCTTTTTTTTTATACCTCCAGACGTAACCATTAGCTTAGCGGATTCAAATGTCTCATTTTCTTCATAGACGTGCATAATCGATTGTGTGCGTGCGTGCGTGCGTGTGTATGTAATAAGAACAAAAATTTATTATTTGAAAGTATCTAGTGATTCAATCTAGTAAGTGCCATTTTTGGAAGATTCAAGGTATCTAACAGCAATGCAGTAAGTTGGTATGAAGATTGAGACATCTAGTGTTTTTTTAACTTAACCTGCAAAAGAGACGTGTTGAGTAAAACCTGCGCTGCAGTTAATTTTACACAATAATGTCATTAAATATGATATCAACAGCTAAAGCCACGTTTTGCATTGGACGATATATAAGTTAGTATTATCAAAGAAAGAAAATTAATTATGGTTATAACTTGGTTGTTCTATCTCCATCAATATTCAGCCTGTTTGAAATACGTGTTTTCTATAATAAAATTATTTGTAATGTATAAATTGCAAGCATTTTTCAAACCGTTATTTTCATAATATTTATTACACATTTTCATAATATTTTATTACAGATTATAACTTGATGGTTAATGGATTTCATCAATCGTGTGTACGTGCAATCAAAATATGGAGAATGAAGTATGATTTTTGAAATTATCTATGTTAATCTATGAGCATGGAAAATATATATTATTTTGACATGTATCTTTTATAAATTACAGTTAATTGTTAATATATTAATTCTTTAATGGTAAGATCGGGATCAAATGTAAGTCAATGGTTTGTTTATTTTACAATATGCGCATACTATTTCTCTTCTTTTTTTAAGGAATGCTTCGTGTTATTATTTACTTTTATCCTTTGTATATTGATTACATGAAAAATGAAACACAATATGGGGAAATCCAGTTCTACTTTCCTAGATACACTGAAAATTCATCTTGCCATTAGAGAGTTAAATATTGATATGTAACACTGTTAATTTTTAAATTAGTAATTAGTTTAGTGTTATGTTTATTTTCAGACGTGGTTTAACACCTCAACCAAATAAGGACTCTCTACTAACAAATCTACCAGATTATACATTTAAAGTAGGAAAACCTACACCCCTTGGAATAAGGCAGAAAGCACGGTTGGATAAACAACGAGAATATGCAGTATGTAACAGATGAAAATTATATTGTCGTTTATTAGTTTTTAATTTATTTATTGTATTGATTTCTAGGCAAGAATTATTGAATTGGTAAAAGAAGTAGATTTCGCTGTTGAAAGGCATGCTAAAATGCAGGAAGAAAAAATGCGAAGCAGACAGGAAATTCTTAATAACAAATTGAAACCAAAGGGAGATTTATTACTTCAGATAAAAGCAAAAGAAGTGAAATAATAGCTATTTTTAAGTAAAAATAATATACTTTAATCTTATTGTATATTATATATCAGGTGTGTTTTGAAATTCACTGTTAATTTTGAAGACCTATAGTTTATGTCATGATTATTATAAATTTTCAGTATCGACAATGAATATTGAAATACAGCTATTATTGTATATTTTCTTGTTGTGTCTCTATTTATTGTTATCCTTTATTCCCTGCTATTAAAACCAATATGATATTTTAATCAAGATGTAAGAGAAAGAAATAAAATTTTCGGAAATGATATAACATGAAGAAGATGTGTTTCTGTTGTATCTTATATGTTCTTCGAGGATAAGTAAATTGGAAGATAATTCGGCATAACAATTGAGAATTTTCATTCTTTTCTTTTTGCACACTAATACGAAAATACGCAAACATGGTTATGCGTGCGTATAACGCAATAACTTTAGACTCGTGTTTCAAAAGTCAAATTATTGCGCAAACAAGAATAATTATAATTTTTTTAATGCAAAAAAATAAAGCAAAAGTTTACGAACATATAGTGGAGCAGTGTTTGCATAGGATGGGTGATTACTTTTACACCGTCTACTTCGGATATATTTCTAAAAGAGAGGCAGGAACTGTCGCTACAATTTAAGATACGTCAAAACGATGAATCGCTTATTAAATTAACAGCCTAATGGATGACTTGATGAGTGACTCTATACACGGTGCGTGTCCGTGCGTAAATTGAACAAATTATAGAAGAATGCCTTTGGTGCTTGCGTGTGGACACCCTGTGCCCGTACAGCTGTAGCAGCTTTACAATAGACAGCGATGGTTCTCAATCCAACTTATATTTTCATCGAAGGAAAAGTAAAAGTAAAATACTGCCGCACGAAACATTATCAAACGTTCTGTAATATTTTCCGATTATCATGGTAAGAAAAAAATTAACTATATTAAAAAAAAGAAACTTAAATCTCGTGTAATTCATGCAAAAAGAATTTAACATTTTGTACTTTATATTGATACTTTTATGCAATTACATGCCCTTATTATTGATTTTCTCGCATTATGAATAAAAGGGACATAAATATTTTCATTAATATGTGGGACAAAAGTGAAATATAGCTAGTAATAAGTTATAATTAGACTTTAACTAACCGACTTAGTTTGTACACAGTATGGGAATATCCCTGATTCATACAGTGGACAACTGCAATGGTCATAATTACACGCGATGATACACGTGCGTGTGTGCGTATCTGTGTGCGTTAAGACCCTTATGGGACATATATGACATCTTAAGTCGAGATCAGTGCTTCGTGAAAGACGGAAGGAATCACACGCGAGAAGGAAGACCCGAATATTCTCGGTGTATATATATTTCAAAATAAGATACAGTTCGTGTGTGTTGTTTTAGTGTAAGATATAATTACGAGAGATGATGTCTTACGTTTGGATATTTTACATCTGTATAACAGGTAATACAAAAAAAGACATAGCGTGAACGTTACTATGACATATTTGCTAGCAGAAAGAAATAGCATGATGAGCGCGCCACGTCGTTTTGTAGAAGAAAAATTGACGATACGAGAATTTTTGTGTTTATGTCCGAAGAAAAGTTAAGTCACGTCACACACACACACACACACACACACGCACATACGCGCACACATACACATACACGTACATGCACACAATAATAATAAAATTAGAGCGCGAATTCTTGCGTCTTATGCGAGAACTATTAATATTTTCTCGCCAATGTACACGTTTTAAATGTGCTCTTCTGGCATTCGAATTTTTAGTCAAATTCGCAATAAAAAAAAAGATTGCGTATGTTAAATATTTATGAAGAGGTCTTTTTCTCCTATCTTTCTCTTTTCGATTACAAATTCCGTTACGCGCGTAACAAAAAGGACAATTGATTTGATTCATTTTCACGTTATTGCTTCCTCATTTTAGATTATTGTCATGACAACAAGAAACATTCAGGCAACCTAGTTTCGTGCAATCGGAGCGTTACGATAATCGAGCTAAAATACCCTTTTACACTGCAGTATAATTACATTTCCGTATGTGAATCGATTTCTTTAAGAAAGAAAACCGCGGCCGAGAGGAAGTATAAAATTATGTTTTAAAACGGTCGCCCATGCACGCAACTTCGGCAATCGATTCTCTTATCCTAGCTCTCGTAATAGTGCGTGAGCGAAAACATAATCGCACTGTAGTTTCGTTTTCGCACGCCATGCGAAGGTTGTCATGTGTGTTATGCACACCAGTAAATAGTAATCGATCTTAAAAGGGGAGAAAAAAAGAGGCAATCTCGACTCGTGCACGTTCGAAGCTGTGTAAAAAGAAATTTTACCAAGTCATACATGCGTACGGAATAACGCAGGTTTGTTTCGATCGAATTGAAAGCAAAACCAGAACGAAAAGAAATAAAGGGGAATTTTCTGCAATGCGAATCAACACCACAATTCACTTACGTCGTCGTAATCGTTGCATGTTACAGGCATTTACGCTGGTATACGCACAAACCGCGCATTTGGAAGCCATCCAGCGACGATAAAAGTCTCTGAGAACGACACTGTTTTACTACCTTGTTACGTGGAAGATCAGGGTATGATATCGTCAATTCAATCGATTATGCGCTTCTTCCGCTCCCCGCTCGGTCACTGATGATCCCATTCATTCGTTTCACTTGCATTCATAATTCGCGTTTCGTCAACTTCTTTATGCGCGCAAACGCACACACGACAGCCTGAAAATATTACCGTTTATAAAACCGACAATTTACGGGCAATCAATCTCGTACGCTCGAGCAATAACGATGCAATGAGGATGCCTTTCGAAACATCATTATTTCTACCTATACGAGCGTGTAAAATTAAGATAAAGTAACGCGAAGAAACCTTTCTGTACTAAATTGCCGGCACACTTTATTTCACACCTAAAGCGGCGCTACAAACAGCTACTTCGTTGTGTGTTACTTGCTTGCGGAGTTTCGTTTTGTCAAAACAAGCGCTCTCGTTTAAACGAGTTTAACGAGTTTAACTCGATCATTTATGCGCAAATATCCGCAAGTATGTTTTTTCGTCAATCCATCCGTGCATGAGAAGCCCGAGAAAGAAAGGGATCTTTCGTAAGAATCTCAGTACCTATTCACCTACGGTGACCCTCGTTAGCAGTTGCACGAGTGTAAATGCTGAGTTCCGGATGTTGGTGAATGGTGAAGTGTGTTGAAGCGCACGGAAAAGGTTGTTATTCCTTGCTTGTGCTGTAGGCGTGCAAACTAGGGTGAGATGGTGGCGAGAAGAGATTCTTCTGGCTGACAGCTTTGAACAAGACAAAACATCGTCCGAAAGATACACCGTATATAGGAATGGCAGTCTACAGATCCTTCATATACAGCTGGAGGATAGGGGGGAGTATGTGTGTCAAGCGATCCGACCTGCTCCTTGGGGATATGTTACGCAAGTACGCGAGATCGAAGTGATGTGTGAGTACGATGTAAACCCCTATTATACAGCATCCCTCAACGGGGGAATTCACTGCATGCAATATCAAATAGAATCACAGCGTAGGAAAGGAGGAAAAGACTTCCGCAACATCGTAAGCGAATCTAATCGCATGTCTCTATGCACTTTTTATTCGCGCGTCCTCTTCCAACGTATCTTGTGTTAAAATCACTGTTTCCTACTTGACTCTTTTTCTCGAACGGCAATTTATTTACAGGAGTAAGTTGACTGAATTTTGCACGATCCTTCTTACGTAATTGCAGATAATTTCAAGTCGGCTCGTGATGTAAAATATCACAAATTTATTTGCCTGTTTCATGCTGTGAGTTTAGATCCACCGAGTATCAAGACGGTGCCTGCATCCGGTGAGTTGGAAGTCAATCTCGGGGAGGAGGTAGATATGCGGTGCGAAGCAAGGGGTGTGCCGTTCCCCAACATAAGTTGGAGGACGAAGGTAATCAATACTCACGATATTGTTTATGTCAATGATATTAGATAATTTGTGCGGGAGTATCCGTTACAGAAATTTAATACTGGTAAATTCCTCAGACAGCATAATGACACATCCTTAGGAAATCCTCGGGACATCTAGGACGTACTTTACGGTATATCCTCTGTGGATATCCAAATTTCATTCAAAATATACATAACAATCAATGGCGTTGCCATACAACTCTCATAATGACTATCTACTGGAATCGGGCACGTGTGAAGTGAAATATGTCTTCTTTACAGAACGAAGAAATCCCATTATTGGACGACAGATCGCAATTGAAATTTCACGCCGACAATCGGAATTTTTCCGGCAGGTATACATGCGTTGCCAATAATGGAGTCGGCGATCCAGCAGTGGCGCACATAGATTTACGTATTAAATGTGAGTTAGATGCCAGAACACACGTATATGCGCTCACGCACGCACGTAAGCACGTACATATATGCGCACGTAGCGACACATACGTATATTATTTTATTCATCATGAATGTGTGTGCAGTGTTATTTCCGCTATAATTTCTCTTATCGCGTAAATATCCGCGCGTGCTCATTTATTACAATCGCTATGAATAGGAATTTTTACAAATTGTATCGACTTGCACTTACGATTAATCAATCTCAATGCTTCTGCCCTTACAAGAAATTAATATGAGAATGACTAAGAAACTCACAATTAAATTAAATAATGGCAGTGTTTCAGTAATTTTTTGGCTAATATTTAGTCATCGATTAATATATTTCAAATTATAGACATAAGATTGTATGTGTTCTTTGATTGATATTAATTACGTCAGCTACAGGATAACGAGTAAAAGCGGAGGTTTTTACTATATCAAAATAATATGTTACCATCATCATGTGTATTTCGACCTGTAACATAGCAAAACTTGAAATTTTCAAATCGTACAACAGATAAGCCGGAAATCTACGTGAGGAAACCGTGGGTGCACACATATCCGGGAATACGAGTGAAGCTGGACTGCACGGTGACAGCTTGGCCCGAAGCGGAAGTGAGTGCCTTCCCGCAAAATCGACAACGACATATAATTGACGGCGTATCATTAATTAACATTTCGAACAATAATTAACCGATTAAAGCTCATGACTGTAGCCGTAAGATGAGCAAAAAGAAAAAAAGACATTAATTGTAAATAGGAGCTTAAACAAACTTTCAGACGTCTGAAAGACATCTTATAGTCTCGATTTTAAACGTTATGTTATTTAGGAAGACAGTGGCAGCGAAAACTTCTGCTATACATATGCGGTTGCAAGCGCGTTTTCGTTAGCTTTGCCGATTTTAAGACGGCGATCCTTCTAGTCCCAACAAAAGTGCTTCCTCCTCCATTCTTTTTCTTTAAAAAGATAGATGTCAAAATGAAACGAAGAGATATATTTCTGTAAGATTAAGTAACCGGCTCGTCTATCCCTTGCGAAGCCGATGAGAGATTGATCATTTCTACGACATCTGACAGTCTCTCTCCTTCCTCTCTCTCTCTCTCTCTGCCTCTCTCTCTCTCTCTCTCTCTCTCTCACTCAAATAATCAGGACTTCTACCAGCCTAACCATCGCTTTCAACGTTAAGCATGATCTCTTTTCAGGTTGAATGGTACTTTAAAAATGAAACGTTGAAGGACTCCCCACAAGTAATGGAGCTTAATATCGGAAACGACCACAGTCTTATAATAAAAAACGTGAAGACGACCGATTACGGTTCCTATTTCTGCAGAGCATCGAATATTTTAGGAACTACCGAAAAGACCGTCGAACTAACAGCGATCGCAAATCCGGCAGTTTTCAAAAAGGAATCACGTAGCACATCGAATACGTCTTACAATTTCATCTGGGAAGTTGACAGTTATAGTCCCATTATCGAATACCAATTTTGGTTTCGTAAATACAAGGTGAGACCTTATAGAAACGTATTCGAGAGGTACAGAGATCGATAAAAACGCAGTTTTGTGGACTCTTGGCAAGAAATCAATAAGATTAACGTGTAATAAGTCCGTATTTCCCAACTCGCAAAAATGGGGAATAGAGTCCGGATCTTGCGGATTCGTGCGTCACTCACATTACGATTTTGATGGCGGCTGCCGTGCGTGCAAAAATAGTAAAAGATGTAAAGTTTCAGTGAAAGGCAATATCTCGCTAACGTTAATAACAATCGTCCATTCTGCGACAATAATAATTGAGACCCGTAATTTCTATTTTCGATCAACAGCGGTGTTGGTAATAAAGAAAAATAAATAGGTAATAACAGAACGAGAACGTGCAGAAAGAATATAGGAAAAAAAAAGTCTAAGTTCCACGTTATAATATTTAATAGGTATTCACATTATCCTCGGTTATTACGCCCGTTTTGTTTTTCTAAAGGCTTGTTCGCAGACGAACATTATGCATAATTTTACCTATACGTTTATAATGTATCCAACTTTACGTTACAGAGGGATGTCGGTGGTAAATGGCATAAACTGTTTATACCCGATGGCACTGACGCCGTTAGCCCGGTGCATACCCGCTCTTTCAATTTAACGGGCTTAAACGCGGCGACACATTACGAAGCTGTCGTTTTGTCCAGAAATCGTTACGGATGGAGCCATCCCTCGGAGATACTACACTTTCACACTGAAGGAGCCTGTAAGTAATAGAGATAAGTCGCTCCCCCCCTCTCTCTCCTCATCCTCCCATTCACCCTATCTCCCGCCTGGCACTTCCTCTCCTCTTCTCCCTTTTTCTCTCTTTTTTTCTCGCGCGCATCGCTCTTTCTTTCTCCCTTTCTCAACATTTATATTTATCTTCCTTTTTATATTTATTCCCTTCAGTTTATTTATTTATCTTAATACCTTTCCTGATGTGATCTATGTTCTTAAGGAGTGGGCCTAGGTAGAATGTTAATAAACTCTTTCATCTATCTGTCCTTTTCTGTCTCACCCCTCTTTTGTGTGCGCACACGTTTGAACGATCGGTCGGTTTTATATAAAATAAAACGCATTCTACAAAAGATATTTTAAATTGTACCTAATATATGTAATTGTGCCATATTTTGCGTATTGCAGCCGTTGGCTATAGCGAAAATCTCGAAATAGATGACAGTCAGAAACAGAACCGAGTGCCAGGTAAATATATAACTTGATTTTCATGGCAGTTTTTAGCAAAGTTCTTGTCGATTGTAGTCCGAATTAGTTTGTATATTATTATAAGACTTTATAATGTGACACGAACAAGAAGGAAAAATAATATTTTACAGTCTCTATCTCTTTTTTTAGTCGTGAAATTGATGCCCATGTCGCAACATTATCCTTTGGCAGCCGACACAAATGGATCGTGTAATCAGACGAAGATGTTATCGTTAATTTTAAGCATACTGTGCATTATATATCTCGATTATAATGTTCGACAACAAATTTAAGTGATGTATACAAAATGAATAAAAATATAAAATGGATTATTGTAATTTATGTGTATATATGAAACAGGTATTAACAATTAATATAAAGGATATCCCAAAATTTCCTCGCGCGGAGGAAAATTTTTCATATTAGAAAACAAAACTTTTTCCTTACCAAAAATATCGGGAAAGATCATTATTATTTAGTAGTGACTTGTGACTGTTAAAAACGATTTCTATGAGAGAAATATAAAGATACGTAAAAAAAAATTAATTGCAGATGCGTTAATATCATATCAACAGCGTGCAAAGATTAATATAATTAATTGATTCTTCTCGTTATTCTATGTGTAAAAATGTCAAAGTGAAATTATAGAAAAGTGAATACTTTATCAGACATATTTCATGCTGAAAATTATCAGGATAAAATATAAAATATTTCGTGAAATATTCACTTACTAATTATCTTACTTCAATGCCTTTATATAGAGAGAATGACCTGGAGCTCAACGTATATTAAAAAAGAAAAAAAGAAAACTACGCGATTCTATTGAAAAGATTCAAAGTTGATCTTGAAATAACTTTAGAAAACATTCGTCGTAATAATATTATCATCTTATGCCGCACTTTGAGACCTTTTATCTATCGTCGGAAACATAATTTTTCGAATGATATAATAATGCATCTTTTCCGAGATAATAGCCCGTAACACTTTCTTTGATCTGTCCAGCATAAGGAAATACCCCGGATATCGTGGGTTAATGTGAAAAATAAAGACGATAACGAAAAGCGGTGTAAGATATGTTAGAAAAATTGTATTGGGAGAGGGAGAGGAGGGGGAGCAACGTTAGCGAATGAAAAGGTAGATCATATTTATTTATGCAGGGTTGCGAAGTGCCGACAGATTTCCAAGCCAGTCGCAGTAGTAGAACCTGTACGGAGTTAGGCATGCGCGCCGGCAGGGTGGCGCGAGGCAGTGAAAGAGCTCGAGAGCAAAATCTACGTTTCAGTCGGTCGCGTGTGTTGCTACGCCACATACCGCTTGTTGCAGCTCGGCTCGGTTCGCTTAGTGCTCGATCAACGATGCACCGTGGAGGTGGCTCGAGTGACAGGAAGACAGAAATAAGCGAGAGCCGCGTATGATACGTAACTGAAATCACCTGCGGTGTAAATCATCCCTCGTAATCGCTCCAAGAGCCCGACGACGCTACAAGAACCGAAGCCTTGCGCGACACTGTCATTCTTGAGTCGCCGTGCTTGGCGCTTTAAAGTCCTCTCCTCAAGTCCTGTGAGATTTTCGCCCTCTTGTCTGTTGACGTCGGCGGATCTCACGAACGTGTGCCGAATACGCGGAGAAATTCTTCTCGGGCCGAAAAATTCCAAAGATTGACTCGTAGGAGATCCTTGTTAAATGACGAGACACGCGATAGCCGTTCGCGCGCGTAACCTGACTCGCGCGATAAAATTGCGATATATATTTAGCATACGTGATATTCGTCATCCCGCGGAAAAATCTCTCCCGTGCTGAATGCGGTGGAGGAAATCTGCGTTCGCCCATTATTTTCCAAAATTCTTCAACCGAACGATGCGCGTGATCGCAATTACGATCTCGTAACTTTGCTACTTTAATTTTGGTTGTAGCGAAATTCAAATCTTACGGGGGGATATGCTCCTCGTTATGCAACAGTGCGTTTTATTAGAATATGCCGCGTGAGTCTTTAAAAAGCACACACGGGAGGGAAAGGTCAAGCATGTTGCGGCGGCTATGTCGCTCCGAGAGATGACTATACTGTTGCCAAGTTGAGAGAACGATAAGTCTATTATCAGCCAGCTTTAAGTGAGCCGAGATTGATCCATGCAAAAATAATCGCGCGACAAAAAAGGAGAAAAAAATAGAAGGAAAAGAGGATCACATGGCGGGAATACGCGCGAAGTGTACTTCACGACGGCGATTATCGATGCGCGGTACGCGATCGCGAAAACCGTGCATTCGGGGGTAACTTCCTGTGTATTTTGCGCGATCGCGTACTCCGGAAATGTTCGTAGAACTTATTGTTGTGCCGAGTGACGCAAATTGGCGAACAAATTGTTCGTAACTAGATCAGATGATGACGGATTCGCCGACACCTTCGACTAGCAAACATCACGACGATAAATGCGACAAGCCCGAGAAACCCGATAAGACAGTGTCACTGGTAAATGAATTATAACGTTAATGTACGAATTGTACATCAGAGACGCAAAGCTACCTGGTTGATAAAAATTTTACCAGCATTTATACATTAGTCGTAACCATTTCTCATATCATTGCGCCATCGAGATCTTCAATACGATATGCTATGTTTTTACTATTTTCAACCGTTTCACCGGATAGGAAGGGGAGATTTTGTTTTGTTTTGTGGGATGCGCTTGTGGGATGCATATATAAAATGATCTTGTTCAGAAATTGTTACTTCCGGTTAATTATTAATCAAGAATAATATACGCAACAAGATTTTGTATAAATAATTACAGTTATAGTTAAAATGGTTATTGAAGCGTTAGTTTTTAATTTTCATGCCTTGCTGTCTGCGGATTAGGCCTGGTATTAATTGTCCGTGATATTATCGATTTTAATATATTGTCAGTGACACAACCATTATGTATCGCTGGAATCATTTAACAATGCTTTTTGAAATGTCGAATGAATGTTGAGTTTTGCGATACATCGCAAATATATCAATATTCGCCATTTGATGAGTAAATACGAAGAAAATTGCTCGAACGAGAGGCGAAATATGATAATAGAGAATAACGAAAACAATACACACACACACACACACACACATGTATTTTGCGTTGAAGCGCATCCAGAATTTCTGCTATTCTTGCGGATAAACGAAATGATGCCGATTATAGAATTTTACATTTTTGTATTTTAGCAAATTCAAGACATAAACAGCCAGGTAGCACAGTTTCGAGATTTGCTCATTAATATCGGACAACCGCGCGACAGTCCAGAGTTACGCGAAAAAATACGAAAAATGCGTCGTAACTGTGTGGAGGCTTGCAAACACATCTCTCAACTGGTACTGCCACATGTACGAAGGTGAGTCATAGTCAATTTAAAAGTGAATCTTAAGTTCTGAAATTCACGCGAAAGCTTCAGGATGCGTAACAAGTCGAAATTTCAGTGCGCAATTGTAATAACCAAACCTTAAATAACCGTAATTTCTTCCGTCAAGCATATCTTAGTGCTATGTAAAACGTACACTTGAGTGCACGTTATAATTAATACTATAACGTGTTGGTATTAAACGAGCTATTCTGCTGGTTTCGTTCTAAACGACTCATATTTGATCAGGACATTGCCTTAGTCTCGAATAAATGCAATCAATGTACAATCGAATGTGCTTAAATTTAAGCGGTTACATTCGTCGTCCCAAAATATTAAAATCCCGAAATCTCGAAGGCATAAAGCAATGTTCCGGAAAGTCATAATCACGAAATTCGAATACCAAATCAATTTCCCGAAAAACAATTTTTCCGAAATATTCCCGAATGGGTATACAATGTCCCGAAATTCTATAAACCCGAAATTATCATATAATAAAATAATTTCCCGAAGAACAATTTTTCCGAAATACGGGAAGCAGTATGCAACGTCCCGAAAAACTATAGGAATTACACTTCGGAATTATAGTTTTTTTTTTGAATTTTCAGGAAAATTGTTTTTCATGAAATTGCGTCGATATTCAAATTTCAGGATTATGATTTTTCGGAGCCTTGCTCTGTGTTTCGAATTTCGAGTACTATTTGGTTGTAACGAGTGTCACCCTAATTAGTCCGACCGATAGACCGTGTTCATCTGTCCCGTGTTCGACGAGCGCTACTGCGTTCTAAATTAACGTATTCGGTCATACTCAGTTCTTTCTCTCGAGGATGTTCGAGATTGTGTCTTTTTAAATGCCGAGGCAACTCTGGCAATTTTCTATAGTGATAACGAGGACATTCCCGTTGACCTACGTGCGACTACGAGACTCGATGAGAGCGACATTTCTTTGCGCCAACGAATAAAAAGAGCGCGAATATAAACCGCGGAATTAACGAGAAAAGAGTACCACACGTCGTCGTATGTAGGACAAGGTTTCGCTATCTTAAACTCCGAATTCAAGTTAGTTTTCAACGACGAGAAAGAGAGGTGAAGGGGAGGGAGGGAGACTGATCCGATTTCTTACATCGCTTCCGCCTCCTCCACACGTTTCGCACAATGCAGGTCAAACGAACAACCGCGCTTGAAGAACCATGGTCGTGGGAAAAGCATCACATGCCGTTGCACCAAGTATTTCCATTAACTTTCATTCCGTAAGTTTACAGCGTGTCGCACAGCGCCGCATCCTTTATCGCTGATTTTTACGCAGAATTTCCGTTCAGAATTTTTCATTAATCTCTTAATCATCTCTTTCGACAGCTCTCGCTGCCTTGCTGAAACGAAAATAAAATAAAATGTTATATTCCCGACGACGGTTTGACTAAGAAATATAAAAAAATCGTATGTAATTGAATTATATATATTAATATTTTCAGTCAAGTCAACATTAATGGTCAATATTAGGCAGCATCTTTATCATATAAAGTCGCGCTTGCATATCGTGCATTAATTTTGCCATTTCTTGTTATCCACTTGTCTCAATTTCACAACACTAGCAGCATTACACATGACATAATCACCAAAAAAGACACATAACAAAATTGCCGCCATTCACTTCACTTCACGCGTATGCGAAGATTTGCGTACAGAAAAATATGTCATGTCGCGTACGTCACCTTGAGACTTCATTCAAGCTGTGATAACGGAAAGTTTCGCGAAAGCTGAAGCTTACAACATCGATGTTGTATTAATGGGGGGGGAGGATTGTGTTTCTCTCTCTCTTTGTTTGTTTCCGCGTATTATTTGCGCACGACTTTAACTTGCTCTTTGTGGTAAGAATATGGAATTTGCAAAGTAAAAGTTTACGACAAGTTGCGTGATATATCTCTCTCGGTAAGTGAGAGAAAACTAAACCGTTCGCGATTTCGGATCGTTTCATATGATATATATTCTCGAAACTGAACGCGACCGAGTAACGTTGAATAACAAATAGCCGAGGTAAAAGTAACGATCAGAGACGCGATAATGTTGAAAGCTCCGCATAAAAAAGAATACACGAAATAATGAAAATGACATGAAAAATATGAGTTTCAAATAAAATAACAAGAGGGTCGTTCCCATTCCGGGAGGTCGAGAAGGAATAGTCGAGCGCATAACGTTTCGTCGATGTTTGCGTATGCATGTTCTATTCTTGCGGAATAATCCCTCATCAATATTTTAATTACCATGGAGTTTCTCGCTTCTGCACCGTGCAATATTCAACATGCGTATTTTAACGTGCACGAATTGCAAGTCCGTGCAGTCGCTTTAAAACCGATTACGTAGGAGTTTCTCATAATCGCAGATTAACGTAGGCGAGCTCGGTAGGCGGCTATTGTTGATTTCTAAAAAAAGGCGCGCAAATAAAACACCGACATCGGTATATACTTTGCATAATCAATGCAGCAGCTACGTGTTCCGTCGCATGGTATGATGCACGAAGTGTTCGCACGATATATGCACGAGAACATGAATCGAGCGATCATGTGTATACAGCATGATTGAACGTACACGTAAGAATGGCCGATCGAATGAATTTTACGAAAATCATTATATAAATGCACGTACTTTCGGTATGTATCGGATCATTAAATATGAAATGTCCGATTTCGAATCGAAAGTTTGGTTCATTGTATCTCAAACAAGAAACGATATAATTAATCAAGATATGCTAAACTGTCGATACAATTTTGCCATCTTAACGGTGGTTTGTTTATGCCGGCAGCGAAGAAGCCTGAAGAGCGAGTCGCAATGAAATTCGCGAAAGACGTTTTCCACGAGCTTGAGAATTGAATATTTTCCTTGCAAGAAGTGATCCAATGCCTGGGAGAAGTGGTAATCAGTTGGTGCAAAGTCTGGTGAATACGGTGGGTGACAGAGAGTCAGTTTTCAAGTCCACCTCCTGTAGTTTGAGCAGCGTTGTTTGTGCGACATGTGGCTGAGCGTTGTCTTGCGCAAGAGGATTGTTTCTGTTGACCAATCTCGGTTGCTTGATCGCAAGCTCCCTCATCATTTCGTTCAATTTGTTGCGGCAGATCGATTTACCAGGTTTCATAAAACTGTAATGGATAATACCAGCGCTGGACCAGCAAACAGACATCATTAGCTTTTCTTTGATGAATATTCCACTTAGGACTGTGTGTTTCGGCATTTCATCTTTACCCGCGCAAACATTGCGCCGAACGCTTATAATTATCGAATAGAATCCACTTGTCATTATGTAATTTCACACATAATAATACGATGTAGAAATGCTCGCCTTTATGCCACAAAAATGTGCGTTTGGAAGAACGATGATGTACCTTCACAATAAAGAAAAACGAAGAACTGTCGAAATGAAATGACAGAGATATCGACTCTCAATCTTAATGCTTAAGGAAATCGGATATTTCATGCTTAATAACCTATATAATAAAACAGACAGATAGACGGAGAGCGAAATGAAACGAAGTAAAATAAAATAATTATTCGTAACAATTTATAGGCGAAAATGACGAAATAATTGGAAATAATTTATAACAAGTCCAATAATACATTCATTTACGAATAATCGAACTTCTGCATTGCATCGCCGCAATAAGTTAACGTAATCGAAAGAAAAGCTGTCGTATAGTTGTAATCATATTACTCTCGTACTCGTATTACTCCAAGTTTACTACAACGAAATAGCGTACGGCACTAAAGGAGATGAAGGCCACAGTGATCGTCGTCTAATAATAACTATGGCGATTCAACTTGAAAGAAATAAGACGATATATTTTCAATCAGAATAACAGCGATAACTGTTCGACGCCACACTAATTAAATATTGCTGATTGAAAATTCCCTTACACATGGTTTTACATTCTAGTTATCGTCTAATTTCGCAAATAATTATTTCCATGCTTAGATGCGTATTCCGGATATGCAAACGATTACAGCTTTAACGCTAGAATATTGACGCACATCTCCGAGCATAGATTTTTACGAATCCTTCTCTTTTTCTTCTTTTTCTATTTCTTACTTCACCTAAATAATTATTTCGTTTTAAATACAATATTTTAAATAAAAGGTGTGCAAATTAATTCGATACTTCTTTTCACAAAATTCAAAATGTATTTATAACAAATTAAATACAAGCTTAATGTTCGAAATAATCTCCACACAGAGAAAAGATTTCTTTGGATTTAACCAATTTTATTGCATCCAAGCAAATCTGATCATTGGGATGCTCCAAAGAAACTAATATGAATAACTACGATTGTTAGACTTTTCAAAGGATACATATCTTCCGATGTGTGGTTTCCGAGCTGGCGCCGCATCTTTCGAGGACGAAACTGTTTCAGATCGATCCTGAAGAAGTGAACTGAAATGTTCACGAAACGTCGGATACAAATCCTCGAAAGACGCCAACTCGGAAGCCAGATCGGATGTTTATCCACATCGCGAAAGCTTATGATTTTAAATGCACATCTTAAATAAAAAATTTGAAGCGAAAGGCATATTTTCTTCGACTTCAATGATACTTTATTATTTCATTCAACCAATACCATTATTTCATAGAAAATGTCTGAGAAAAAAGTATTTCTTGCACAAGTCCTTCCAATCTCGTAAAGTCGGTTCCCTGGATACCGATACACGATGCCGTCTTAATTTAAGCAGTTTCCTGACCGCCGGTAACCGCGAAATCTATTTGAGACATTTCGTACATGTTTTTCGATCTCGAAGCGGCGAGATAGTCTATCGTCCTATCATCCAACCTAGTACCACACCTTATGCTTAACTACGTTGATCAGACGGGTAAGCCAGTCAGTCCAACAGCACGATATCCTTAATAAGGAGGTTCGTTCAATAAACACTATATTTGCACGTCAAAGAGTACGGCATCCATAAAACCGGCTGGTATTACACCGAATGGAGAAGAAACACCGGAAAAAAAGTTGAGATACAACGTACATGAGTATTTTGCCGTTTTCATATAAAGAAAATAATATATTATTCCCCGCGAAACGGACGGCCGCGAGCCCGTTGCTTCGCGCGTGCTCAATCGTGTATCTCGATAAGGCGAATAGAAACAGAATTATAATTATATATTTTATAATTATAATTGTATTACGATTCCGGTCGAGCTAATTTTAAACAGATGAAGATCTTTTGATAATATATCTCGTTACAGCGCTATGGACATTGGAATACCGGTGGATAGCCCGAATTTGGTACTGTTGTTTTACGTGGCGCAACTCTTCTTACGCGAACTGCACAAGAGTAAAAATCTCATACGTATCGTACCCATGGACATGTCCGGATATTATGGTAAGTTATGCATATTAAAGTTACTATTTTGTAACAAAGTTATTATAATCAGCTCTAAAGCATTCGAAGAATTCATAAATAAAGGAAAAGAGCAAGAATAAGGGTGTTTTGCCTGGCTTTCTCTTTCTAACAAATTTTTCCGGTAAATCGTTATAATCTAACCGGTAAACCGATCAGATGATAGTATAGTCGTAAGCGATTTTAATCTGAAGCAAATAAGTCGATGAATAATTGCGTTAACTAAATACGATTTCATTTAGAGCCCCGGCATAAAGATTGTCAGTACTATTTCCGACAGAGTCGTAAACGTAAGTCGTAGTCGGGAGTCAAGGCGTAAGGAATGAATATGTCGCTCGCATCGCCTGTGAGATGTGACGGACGTTTACGTCAATCTTTGCTCCGACAATCTTCGTGCGGAGATTCTTATAAGTAAAAAATTCGTTATCAAATTTAAAACTCACGCGAAAGATCGAAGGAGGAACAGAAAAAAAGTTGAATGCAACGTTGTGTCATAACTGTCACTATAGTTTCTCGTCTTTCGGCTTGTGAAATACTTGCCAGTGCTGGACCGAGAATGATGATAAAACATAGCAGTGAATATAGTCTAGCAAGTCTAACCACGCACAGCCACCTTATCGCGTTACAGAGAGCCGCGCTGGTCCTTCATATATCGGCAACGTGGTTTCGCAAATCCTCCTGTGCAAACAGATCAGGCCGGACTTCAATGAAGAGGAACTCTGTAGCATTCGTAAAGACTCGGAAGAGATCAGTCAACTGATAGCGGAGCTGCAAGAATTCATGCCCCAATCCGAGGCTGACACGGGTACAATTCCGCTGGTATATTTGTTCTTATTACGCCCGAGTATTTTGCTTATTCAATGAAGATTTCCCGCTGCTGCGTGCACAACTTTCCTCGCGAATGTATCAATCACAATTTTTAAAGGGATATTTGTTAACACAACAAAGGACAATTTACAATATTTCCATTTATAAAAATCTTTCCTTTTCTCTCCCTGATACTTACCCTAGAATTGTATGCATGAAAGTAAAAAATTCTCTTCCCTCGCTGGTCTGGAGCGGGGGTAATGATAATGGAATAAATAGAACGGAAAGCCTCTCTAAAGTATAGAAACGGGGCGGATAATACTGGATTAGGCTCGATCGATATAATATGCATGATGAAAAAGTACATTGTAGGCTTCTTCCTTACGAATATATCATTAATGTATATCTCCGCACAAACGTTATGGTGAGCGCCACGCGATGGCGGACGCGCGAAACATTAGTTGACCTTAGATCCTAATAATGGGGTCATGGGCAATTCGGTTTTGCAAAATTTATTCATCCGATCCGCATTTCTACGGATCCGTGAAAAAAACATGCCGAGCGAAAGTGGCAAATGTCAGAGGACAAAGAGAGAGAGGGAGAGAGAGAGTGAGAGACGTTCGTGATACAATCCACGGTTTATTTCCACGGTCTGCATTTTAATTATATATTTGACTATAATTGAAAATAATAAATCGTATATTTTACAGTAAAAAGTCACCGTTTCATCCGAGAGATTTTATTTCACACGAGAAATTTTCTTTCAGAAAGTGTCGTAATTAAATGTAGACGAAGTTATTTCTCTTGGCTTCAGCCGAGCAATGTTTTCCACTTGACACTAAATATTAATCGATATTAACACGCGCACGGCAGGGGTCCATTTTTAAATGTACTCGCAGTTAAATTAGTAATTAGCAGTCAGTATGGTTAACACGTTTGGGAGCAAGGTCGGTGGCGTCATCCAGCTTTCGACGCATGACACACGGCGCAAGGCGACGTCAAATGGTGCAACGAGTCCGTGCGGACACGGCTTGATTATCGAGAGGAAAAGCGGCGCGTTTGACACGAAACGGGTGACACGGGTCAAGGTCGAGTCGCAAAATTCGTTTTTGCTCGATGTTCGCGAGGAAACGAGAAAGAAATGGGCACGATAAAAAGACGTGGAATTGCGCGTTCCATCTTAACGAAAGCGAAGCTATTGTGCGCGGCCGGCACAATTAGCAGGTTCGCAAATCCCCCCGGCTATTCTGAAGGCTAAATACAATCACACACCGCACATACCTATTTATCTAACTCGCGAAATATTTTATATTTACCGTTTAGATTTAATGCGCACATCGACGTCTTTCCAGAGCTACGTTCAGATCTCACGGGAATATCCCTTCCCGCCCAGAATTTCATATTCCTAACGCGGCCCACATTATCCGGGAAGATCCCGGTGGCACTGCAATTTACAGCGATCGTCACATTGAAGGAATAAAGTTCTCCTTTCAACATGATCTGGAGAAGAGGAAAACCGATACGCAGCTCTTTTCTCTTTCATCCCTTGCATCTCATTCTCATAAGACTCGAAACATATTGCTCGCCTGCTTTCATATATAACAAAACAAAAAACAAAATGGAAATTTACGTGCATACTTTTTATGTTATTTTTCAAATTCGCTTATATAAGTTATCACAATCTTTTCTTTAAGCTGCATAATATTGTGGTTCAGTATAAATGATTCTTGTTGATTTTGCTTTTCTTTAGCACAGTGATACGTATATAATACGCAATAAAGTAATGATTGAAGTCGTATACAATTTTTTGTCTTATTATTCTCCTCAGAAAAACCCATGGCCCTTCACGATTCAGGGAATAAAATCAATCGGAATAACGGGACACGGAGGATGCACCGATGGAGCAGCAACAGGGAACAACAATCGTCCTATTTCCGCAATGGTTTTAGGTTTCTATGCTGTGCCGCGAGCACGAATTACGTTTAACGTATGATCCATTTTACTTTATCCTTAAAGGTAATATTTTTATTTAAGTATGAATAATGATAGTGATTAACATAATAATTGATTAACGATATTTCGGCTTAGACATTTATCAAACAGAATGGTTGTTAAGAAAAAATTAATTTGATTCATGAAATATCCTAAGAAAGACATGTCATTTGCGAGAATTTGATGCTATCGAAAGAATTCCAAGATACTTTTCTTCTGGAAGTATTTTAATAATGCGAATAGTGCATTCATAACCCAGAGAGCGTAATGTCTAAAATAGAGATATGAGACATCTTAAAGACGTCTTTAAGGCGTCGGAATATAAGACGTTTTAAAGATATTATATGTCTTTAAGACATCTTATGTCTCGATTTTAGACATTGTATTGCATGGGATTATACAAAGGCTCGTATTCTAAACTCCCTTTTATTGACAAAAGTGTTTCTAAAAATAGTTAGAAACCATCTGATTGGCTAAGATGTCACAATTAAGATACTTATCGATAAAAAAAGAGCTTAGAATGTGGGCCAAAGTCTTGAATAAATAATCATTTGCTAAGAGATATTTACAACATCGAGAGTATAATCTTTATATATTATAGGAATGAAGAGAGAGAGGGAGAGAGAGAGAGAGAAATCGTATGAATATTGATGTAGAAATATTTTCTTTGTAAATTTTTTGTTTGTAACATGAGAATTCGTAACAAAATATTTTTAATAACATTTCACAAAACTAGACATTGCAATCCACGACATTTCAACAGAGATGTTTCTTTAGTTAAAGAAATTACTAGAAATAGTTTTCTCCTACCACTGTACAATGAGGTGCGTTAACGGAGTTTTTTCAATGTAGAATGACGTAGACATACGCATTTTTAATAGCGCATTTTTAAGCGACACGCATCCTCTCTCAGGGAGACCGTATCTATATAAACCGAGCATATCTTTAAGTTTCGTGATGACTACAGATCACAATGTATTTTGACGTTTGCACGTATTTTATATTATTATATTAAAAGACACGGGCACAATCAACGTTTTACACCAAATATTCGTGCAAATAGTACAAAAGCGGTGAGACCGGTTGTTTTGTACAATTGATTTATGACCGTCGTAATTATCACGTTGTGGTTGACATTGATCGCACAACTTGAAGACACGCTTAGGGCCATTTTCACCATTTTCCAATTAACCTAACCGACTGATTAACTCAATGGAATTAACCAATCGCATTAGCCAATTGTAGTAATAATACAACGTACGTCTTACAAAACAGTCCGGCATAAATCCGCACCAGAATAAAAATCAGTATTGTAACATCTATCCTCTATTTTTTATTCGATGACGTAATAATTAATGTAATTAATGTAATTTAACGTAAATTAGCTAAATCGATTAATGCAATTGGTCAATTCGATCGAGTTAACCGGTCGGTTGGGTTAATTGGAGTTGATGGAAAATGGTCTTTAGTTTATAGGTTCGGTCCCTCTAAGAGATACGTGTCGGGAAGTACATTAAGATGTGTTTTCGTACAAGTATTTCGTCGGTACATGAATGATCTGATGGCATGAAAATTGCAGCGATATTACGGCGATATTTTGATGCCATAAATATTTCTGCTTATTTTGCCCGAAGGAGAATGCAATTAATCTGTAATTATTACCTGGGAAACAATTTTACATATATAATTAGATACAATTAGATATAATTGGATATATAATTATATATAAGTGTATATATAATTATATATAAGGCGTCATATGTATATAAAATATGTCCACTCATACGAGGTAAAAATTATATCCCACATGGAATATGACGTCCATTAGAGGTCCAAATAATTTCCATAGCCCCATGCAACATATCTATTTCTACGGTGAAAGGTCCACATGGACCTTTAATGGAGGTCTAAATTACTATCACGATGAACATCCATCACAAATATATCATGGATGTTCATTAGACATTTATTATGAATGTATGATAGACATATATATGTTTCTAACAGAATGAATATTTAAGTTTTATTAGTAATTAACCATTTTTATTTAATTTTGAGAATATATTTGAATATTTAGAATATTTTCACACAATTATATCCTTAACACATTTTTTTAGTATATAAAAATGTTTATTTTATTTTATTTATATAATAAAACAATTTGTATTGCATTACATTTGAAATAAAAAATTGCAATTCTTCTGTACGCAATATACAATTTATGAATTATGAAAACTAAACATTTAGTCTTCATAATTCTGCAACTAAATGTAATACATTAATTTGCAAGTAAAATATGTTAGATATTAGATAATATTAATATAAAAAATATATTAATTTAATAAATAATTATAAAAATATTATAAAAGTATATTTAATAAATAAAAAAATAATTTATAAAGATATATTAGATAATATAGAATTTTAATAAATTTCGAGTATTTAATAAAAATGCTTATATATGGCACAGGAACATTTCTATGAATACTATAAAGATATAAAACTGATGGTCATAGGATATTAAAATAATATGCCAAAGATATTATGTGAAGTGAACATATAACATCAACAGAACATTCTGAAGATATTAAAAAATATTACATAACATGCTTAGGAAATGATAAAAATATTATTTTGATTTTTAATAATATTCATACAATATTCTAAGAATAGTGCTTGTTTATAGGAAATCGACAAAAAACTAGAAATAGTTGGCTAAACATCGGCCTTAACGAGTCGATTTTATGTTAACTTAAAGAAGTCGGTTATCAGTCGGCAATCAGTCGCTTGTGCTGATGTAGGAAGCGACACACGGGTAACATGACGTGTAAATGATACATTTCACCGGTGTTATAATTGTTGATGTTATAACTACTTTCTTTCTCCCTCTCTCTCTCTCTCTCTCTCTCTCTCTCTCTCTCTCTGAATTCCGGATTGCAGGCGCGTTTTTTTTCTGATTTAGCATCCGACGTTTCGTGAACATGGTTGCTCCTTATTCTAATGAAATGAATTGAGATGTTCATGAAACGTCATATTCCAAACCAAAAACAACACGGCTCCAACCACGAAGTGAAACATAGTGATACAATTTATTTATTGCAACGAAACACTACAAAAGCCTCAAATATATCTGATATACTTAGCTTTCTGAAAATTAATATTAAGAAATAATTTATTTTGCACGGATTAATACGCGTAGAAAAACTTATACATAGCGATCTGTGATAAATAGATCGTACATTTTTTGTCTTGTTTTCTGCAAATTATTCATATCACTTGTGTATTTTGCTAATATGCTGCATAATTTTCTACTTTCACTGTGTCATTTCACATATTATTTTACTTGAAGTATGAATTATTGAGCTTAATTAAATATAAAATATCGCAACACTCTCGCTGCACAACTTTGTTTTTTCTATCTGCTATTGCTAGGAAATATAAACAACTGTTTGTTCAATATTACAATAATATTCATATTTAAATATATTTCTATGTAATGCATGCATTACAATTGAAAAAAAATTCTGTTAATTTGTAATTATATATTTTTATAAGTTCATAACAATTGTTTAAATTTCCTTCATGATGGAAGAAACCACCACCTTCTCGCGGTTTCCGTCGAGCAACAACATGTACGTCGTACATTTATAAAATATAAACACGATTGGTATATTGATGTAATTAAAAATAAAGTTATTTTAATCTTGCTTTCTTTTCGTTGTTCGAAATTTTGTAATATATTTTAACAAGATACATTTATTCAAGAAAAACGTACACGTTGGCCAAGAGTGGATTTCATTATTTTTACAATTTTACATATAGTATAAGGAATACTTGCCGTTCGGAACCGGCGTTAAACTGTAGGTCCCATATACATGTATACGATCTGTGTGCGCACCACATGCATATGTAAACGGGCTGTCATGACAGCCAAGAGGGCAGCCCCCTTATCATGCTAGCTTCCGTAGGGCTAATAACCCACGTGGAGCGAAAAGTATCTATTCAGAGACAAATGAAATGCCCCGACGCTTAGCGGCACAAAGGGGAAGAAGAAGAAGAAGTATAAGGAATACGTGCTTATATATAGGAAATATTTTGACTCTGATACGATTAATTAATGATTTATTCATTACAAGATTAAAATATTCTATATATAAAGAATATATAGAAATAAAACGACGCTTTCAGCACGAAAGCGTGCGAAACTGTTTCGTCAGAATGAACGTATCACAGCAAGCTCGTCCGAAAGAGAGATAGATAGTCGTGACGTAATATATTTCCGTCTCCTTCTAAACAGCCGAAAGCGCCCGAAGTTGGGAGCGTACGCACGTGGCTTTATGTGTGCTTTTCCCTCACGTGGCTTGTAACAACGCGCTATGCTTGACTGCTAATCGGTTCACTATTGAGCGTTACGACCGGCAATATCCAACACGTGTGCGAAAAAGATTGTTCTTTTTGCCCCCTCATATTATTAGTGACATTAGATTTATTATGTCAGAGAATGAAGAATAGGGGATTAGTTTTACAATATTGATTTTCATTACAGTGAGGACTGGAACAGTTTTGTAAGACATACGTTATATTATTATTACAAGTGCGTTCTGAATGTCGTAGAAACGCAAGAAAAATCGGGAATTGGAAGAAATATATGAGACATACCCTTTAGAGAAAAGATATTTACGAAAAAAAGGGCTGGGCAAGAAGGTTCGTATACATTAATATATTTTTTTAATACTGTCTTTATTATGCATGCATCGTGTTCTAACAGAGCAAACGATTTTGTATAATATATGAGAATCGCATCTTGCATATAAATTTCAAAAATAGTGAAATAATTGTATTGACACGTTATGTTTCAATAAAATGCTACTTGTGAATTTGCACAGTATTTATATTTGATTAAATAACACAATAATATGATTATAATTTCGTGTAAAACATTCATGTAAAATTATATACATCAATTATAAACGGTTTATCAATTAAATTAAAATTGAAGCAATGACTAGTATTATTTTTCAATATCAGTAATTATAAATATATAATTTTATTTGCTAGAAAGTAACTCAACTTTTTCTTTCTTAAAGAATAAATGTGTATTATCTTGTAATCTATTTTACGTTCTTAATATCAATATTATTTTTTAAACTGTACTTATTTTAAACATGTCTATTTCGCTTAATAATTTATAATATCGTCAATTTATAATAAAGAAAATAAAAAAAAAAAGAAATAAAAGTTAACAAAGTCACTGTTGCGTATCACATAATTATCAAATTATTACTTTGTACACATATATCGATTGCAATATGTAAGAAAGAAGGCAACTTTTGTGTAGAATTCTATATTAAAACATTGTGAAATGTTGGTATATCGTCTTTAACTAAGACCCAATCTTCTTCTTCCTCTTCAGGAACAGCAGATGTGGCAGCAGATTCCTTTGCCAAAGCTCCAAATACGAAAATATTTTTTGTTATTCATCATCGTTTTATATTAATATAATATATTAACATGTAACTTTTTTGATGATTCACGAATTACCTACCATTGAATTGGACTTCTAATTCATGGCGATCTACTGGTTGCACTTGTCGAAAATTAACGAAACTGTTACCAGTTGATGTGGTATCGTCCACCTTACTTTGTAAAAGTGTCTTTCTACATTCACCAAGATCTTCCAGTCTTTTTAATTCGGTACGATAACTAACGTCTTCCTCCCCCGATTCAGTTTCAGTATGATCACTTTGTTCGGCATATTCCTTTTTCTCATTCGCACTCTGTTCTTCATTCATCATATAGTTAGGATGTACGTTACAATTGATGTACGTTATGGTATCCATACGATTAGGTATATTCGAATCACCATTGTCTATTTGACTACTCTTCATATACTTGGATAAGATTGAATCAAAATCGAGAATATTGGCTAATAGTTTTTCCTTATTTTCTACATCTCGTTGAATTCTTTCCAGATCACGATCTGATTTTATTACACGATTGTCATCTATACTCAATGACAATAATGAAGAATGGGTCGTCGTCATTGCTTCGTTGGCATTTGTGTTATTAGCACTTGAATTACTCGACGAATGATTAGCGATGGATGTCGATACGATGTGACTACTATTTTCGTTTGCCGTTTTACTATGGGATTTTCTCTGTTTCCTTTTAGGTGTGAAAACAACGTCTTCAAATTCCTGCTGACCGATTCTTCGGAATAATTCTCGACGATCATTGCTCTTTTCATCCTGCATATTTTTCCTTTTATCTTTATGTTCTAATATTGTGTTAATATGCGTTAGAAGTGGAATATTTAAATCTAACGGAACTATCGGGGGTATTTCCACAGCTTCTTCTGCGCTAATAACTGCATTGTTGTCAGTAACTGGTACAATGCTAGAATATGATTTCATTAACTTGACGATAACATTTCGAGTTGGAAAAGTTTCTCTTAAAAAGTAATTTGTTACGGTTATTCGTTATCCATTGGAAGAAGTAACTCGTTTACTATTACTCATTTTGGAAAGTAACTCGTTACGATTATTGTCGATACGAGTCATTACAGTTTCCGTGACTCTTTTTTTTTGCAAGATTCGCTGCTGCCCGTTCTACATACATACATGTATTCTACGTACAAAATAACGGTAAAAAACAGTGATTTGTTACCGTTAATAATAAAAGAAAAATAACATCGTTACTAAAGAACTTACTGAGTTGTCACTAAAGAGAGTAACTGGTAACGGCGTACAACTAACGCATTACTTTCCAATATTGGATAACATTAAAGTTTAAATTTCAATAAGCCATATGTTCATTTAGTTTCAATATGGTTTAGACACTTAAAAACAAATTCTCTTGTTAGATAAGTTCTGCGTCGAAGAAAAGTGCCCAAGCTGTACTGAAATCAAATGTACATATTTAAAATATAATTATTTTTTTGCTTACTTACTCTACAGTTTGAATAATATTGGTTGAATTAATTTTATGAAAAGGAATAGCTGGCATTACAGTACTCTCCTTTAATTTTGAAGTTAGTTCTAATAAGCCAGTAGCGACGGGTTTGCTATATTCTGCAAACGACGACAAAGGATCCATTGTGCTTCTTGTTTCTCCTGTTACGGTTAAATAATTCATTATTAATTATTTGTAATTTTATAATTACATTTTAGGAATGATGATTACCCGATATGAAAGTATTATCTTCTGGATAATGAGCGATACGCAAGATATTTCTTTCTCCTTCCAATATAAATATCTCGTCTTTAGTACAAGCTACATCGGTAACGCGCCGCAAATCAGTCACCACTGATGATATTGCAATAGTGTTTGGATTTACCACATAAATTACATCATCACTGTAAGTTACTATTAAATCATCACAAAATGGTAATACAATGCCGAAAGAAGGTTCACCGCGATTTTTTCTCAATCCTTCGGGCGCAGGATTTAATAACTCCACTTCTGTATGACCGGATCTAACTGCGTCCTGTATACAATAAATTTACAATAAGTTAAGAAAGTAGCTACCAAGGCCATTTATTGTATCGACTCGAAATTGATACCTTGAATATGAGTGTTTTCAATACAGTTCCAACTTTATCAGCTTGCCATAATCGCAAGCCTGGTCTACTAGCATAAATAACCGGTTCTTGAACATAATTCTGCCGATAACCAAATACCGCACCTAATTTACCTAATCTAAAGATATACCAAAATATTCATTTTTTCAATAACTTATATCACAATATCGCGCATATTGCGAGTATGTAATCGCAGACTACTAACGTTTTACGTTCTTTCTGGCCAACTTGTATTATTCTTCCATTTTCATTTCTATTCACTAAAATTGTACGTAATGTAGTTGAAACCAATAGCAAGCCTTGTTGGTAACTCAACTGTACCACTGAATATTTTTCATTTAATAACTGCGATGACTTCGATAAATGCTATAACAAAATAATGCAAAATATCAAATGATTTTCTTGTAAATAAGAAAAAATTACTCAAAATTTATCGTACATACCATATAAAAATCAATCTCTGTTAAAACTACTAGACCATCTTGATCTCCACTAAATAATTTCATACCATTTTTAGACCATTCAACTGCTGTTACTGCATTTTTATGTAAACCGTTTATACTGTATCTTTCAACCTTATAAATTATGGTAAGGAAATATTTGCATATTAATCTTATATAATTTTACAGGTGCAAATTTGAATTTGTAGTTGTTACCTGTTTCTTTTGTTTCGGTTTTAAACTATCTGGTAATGTATCTGGTGGACTTTTGGGAATTTGAAAAACTGTAATTACTCCATGTTCATTTCCAGCAGCAACCATATAATCAACAGTGGATATTACTTGCACACACGTGATCTTGGAATATGCATTCTACAAGAAAAAAGTATTGTCTTAATTAGTTATTCTTAATCAGTTATTGTCGCTAATCATATTTAATTAACAATATTCAGAGTTATTTAAAAGATTTTTATATACTTCACAACGAAGCCTTTGTAGATCCTGTTTCTCTCTATTATACCAGTAGACAAGCCCACGATTAGTTCCAATAGCAATAAACTCGGTAAGTGCAGCAATGCAAGTAAAACTGACATCTTGTGTAAAAATACCAGTTTGTATTCTAGCAGGTATCTGTTGTAAGAGTGTTGAAAGTGGTGCCCATTCCCTTAATGGTCCACCATCTTCACACATTGGTGTTGCCATTATTCCAACTATATATTTTGTAATAAAATATATCATTATTTATTTACAAAAATTAAATTTTATAAATAACTGAAAATAATTTTATGCGCGCGCGCGCGTGTATGTGTGTATGTGTATGTGTGTGTATGTGTGTGTGTGTGCATAAGGCAGTATAATTTCTAATAAAAAAAAACGTTATACATAATTTCACAACTATATACTTAGGCCTGTATTCTGAATTCTCTTTTATCGATGAAAGTGCTTTAACCCTTTGAGTACTGAATTATTTGTAGATTTTTATGCCCATCGGACGGATTTAATTTGTCGCTATATGGATTAATATGTAAAAGTAATACATTTTATGCCCAAGTAAGCAGATGACGAGTCTCACTCGTCAAATGTACCCAAAGGGTTAATTGTGGCTTCTCAGTTAATCAGATGGTTTCTGAACCACTTTTAGAGGCACTTTTATTGATAAAAAATATTCAAAATATAGGCATTAATTATGGTTTACGACGTTAATTGACACACAATTGCGACATGTAATGTTACATTTTAAATAAATTTTTGCAGAATATGTAAAAAATACCTTTGCATAAGAATAAACAGAGATAGATGGAAAAAATGGCTTACGGGGATCAATAAACTATATAATCCTTAGGATTTTCTTTTCAATACATCGTGACGTTTCCATTGCAAATAAGCAAATAGTTATGTATATGTTTGATATATATACAACAAATGTACGCACGCGTATCCTATCGACTTCTGTAACTGGGAGCAATAAGATTAAAAAAACACGTATCTGTCACTCCCAGCGAACTCTACACTATACTGGAAAGCTCACTAAAATGGGAGAAAATAAGAGAGGAAAGTAGAATCGTTCTGTTCTTTTCTATTGATGTATTCTTTGGCTGGTATTACATGTGTCGTACGACGAGTTTGTCGGACATGCCGATTGGCAGTCAGACAATTTCTAGGATGACTGGAGAAAAGTTTAGGGACCCTTGAAATTCTCTATATAAATATATTCCAAGTTCCAAGCGGAACGCAACCTATGAATACTGGCCTTAAGCCAGCGGCACGCGATGTTTGTTTTCATGCTGGATTGCTTGCTGGATAGAAATACTGCGTTCTGATTGGTGCATTTCCAAAAATAGATGACAATACACCAATTAAAACGCAATATTGCCATCCAGCAAGTGACCTAGCACGAAACAAGCATCGTGTGCCGCTGTCTTTATACATAAATAAATAAATACATATATATTCCAAGTTAGAATAAAAACGGCAGTATAGAAACCATACATAAAATTATTATAGTCCTGTAAACAAAATGCAAAAATGCAATAAAATCCAGATAAAATCGGCAAGTGTAAATGTTTAGTATATTTTATACAACAAACATTTTGTATACAATACATTTTTTGTCCTGGCAACACTGTTCGCGCATGGATCACGCAAGCGAGAGAGAACGCTAGGACACAAACAGAGTGCATCCTTTTCTACGTGCACCTCGACCCCTGTTTCTCAATTAAAGGCAAACGTACAGTCTAGATAGACATATCGTGTCTATGTATTATATAATAGTGGTTGGTTGAATCTGTCTCTTCGTTTTCCAACTTTAGCGAACAGTTCGCAAGACTCATAAGAATGTCTGTTAGTAGAGTAATTGTGAGTACAGATGGGTAATTTAAGACCTCGTTCAATTTTTGAGATATATTGTTTCGTCATTTGCATTATTGATATCACGTTGATTACGTAGATTGTTTGCGAGTGCCAAATAATTTTTGTTGCAGGCACGAAAATTCTCCTCGTCGGTTGTCACACAGCAATTAGTGAAGGTAATATTTTACAAGTTCTTGTGCTCTATATGAAGTACTTAGTACATGCGACAAGTTCATAAACTCGCAATAAATTTGCTGAAAGTTACCTTGCCTATTTCAGCTTCCATATTTATCGTGTCATTCAGATACAACTTCTATATAAATATAATGCCAATGTACACATAACACACGTCCATATGTGTACCCATATGCAACTTTATCTTTTTATATGTTAATATAGCCTCCAATTCAAGTTTTTGGGTTAGAAGGCAGATATGCAACAGCTCTCTACTCAGCTGCATCCAAACAAAAATCTCTTGATGCGGTGGAAAAAGATTTGGTTAATTTCCAGGTATAATTATTGTGCAAACATATATATACATGCTTATTTATATATTATTTATAAATGATTTATATTTCTCTAATGCATGTCTAAATTAGGGTTTCCTGAAAACTGATACAAAATTGGTGGACTTCATAAAAGATCCTTCGGTAAAACGGAAGGATAAAATAGAAGCCTTTAAAGCTATTGGCAGTAAAATTGGTACGAATCCAGTTACAGCGAACCTATTGACGTTGCTCGCAGAAAATGGCAGATTGGGAAAAATGAACCAAGTTATTAATCTATACAAATTAATTATGGCTGCTAATAGAGGAGAGGTTGTTTGCGAAATAATTACTGCAAAACCGCTAGATACAGATATGAAGAATAAACTAGAATCAGCTCTCAAGGGTTTCTTAAAGAAAGGGCAAACTATTTTGCTTACTACTAAAGTAGATCCTTCGATTATTGGTGGCATGCTAGTATCAATAGGTGATAAGTATGTGGACATGAGTATTGCTAGCAAAATCAAAAAGTATAGCGATCTTATCCAAAGTGCAGTGTAATTGATTCAGATATTTCTCTCTAGTGAGATAAATTAATGAAACAAACTTCATCACATATAACTGTACTTGAATGTTATATGTAAATTATTGAATAGTGAATAAAATATATAACTTCAATCTCAAAATGTGCAATGATCATTATGTGAATCAAATTGAAATATATTAACAAGAAAAATGTAAATTTGTATATTAAACTTGAACTTGTAATTTTATTTCTTTATAACTGAAACACACACATATATATATATATATATATATATATAGCATAAATAAGATATTTCAGGCATAATACATTGTTTTGTAATATGAGAAATATCTTTTTCATTAATATTACTCAAACGTATGTATCACTCTGCACTGTAATGCACGTTTGATTAATAATAATGAAAAATACACGTCACAATATCATATATAGATACATACATATAATTATATTTCATGGAATAAGATATTATTAAAGTTAATTTATTATACATATAGTTTTCGGGTAATTATGAATGGCGGATAGAGTTTTCAAAGTTCTTAACATTTTCTCTGGACACCCTAAAAATTCTCTATCCGACGGCCAATTGATATATCTGACAAACTTGTCACACGACGCATGTAATGTCAGCCGAGCGAGATCCGACATCGGTGATTGACTAATTTAACATAAAGTTTTCTAATTGTAAGAAAAACTCTATGCAGATATGTGTGCTATCGCACTATGCGCTAACGATTAGCCTTATGCCTGTGTGAGATTAGTATTGAGTTTGGATTTGTCCAATCAGAATAAGATTCACTAAACTTGAATTTAGCGAACTTTGCTCTGATTGGTTAAATTTCAATCCAATCTCGATCCGCAATATGGGCGCTCCAAAGCACTTGCAGCTCCAAGTAAATCGTAGCTTGATCTTGGTATCACTGGTTGCGTTTCACTTGAGTTGGCATTCATGAAGATATCGTTAAGTCTCGCGTGTCTTTTCCTCCGAAATCGTGTTCTTCGAAGGTACGTACGGCCGTATTCGTTATATTTTTCAGATCTGATTGCATCTAATCCTGCATTTAAATACTCGACTTACATAAGGTGATTTCTCGTATTCAAAATCTCGAGCTGTAACGTAAACACAAGATATATCATCTCCGTGTACGATAGACGATTGAAAATTACGAGTAAAATACGACGCGGGCAGACCGTAATGGGCCCCATCGCGCTTATGATCGCGAGATCATAGACTTGAGATCAAGTGTTAATTAATTTTTATGTCATTTTAGGACACAATGCCTCGTTATTCCCACGAGCCAGTTAATGCGACCAAGTCGTGTAAAGCGCGTGGTTCCAATCTGCGCGTGCATTTTAAGGTGAGTACAAAAAAATCTAACCTCAAGTGTGATTTCAAGGGTCAACGTTTAATCCAGTCTCGAGAGAACGGTGTGTTTTGTGCGCAGGTCCTTTGTTCATCGTTGTACTGCATATTTTTTTTTTTAAGCTGTTCCACGGAATACGTGCAACTTTATTCTCTTTATAGACATTTGTTAGTGGTATTGGGACATATACTTTTCCGAATGCCTATAATAATATATTGAGAGAGAGAGAGAGAGAGAGAAAGAAAGAAAGAAAGAAAGAAAGAGAAAGAGAGAATGTTTAATTCAGATTTACAATAGGCGTAATAAACCTTTAGTCCTAATAACACTTCAATCTTATAAGTTACAATATCTGCATGAATTATAATACTGCTGGGAATATTTTTTGCTGGAAATTATGTTACAATTTAGTGCTAAAAGCTAAAGGCTTACTGCATCTGTTATAAATCCAGTTTTACAGGTCATACAATTGGTTTTTCTCATATGTTACAGAACACTCATGAAACGGCACGTGCCATCAAAAATATGACTCTGCGAAGAGCGCAGAAATATTTAAAAAATGTGATGGAACACAAAGAGTGTGTGCCCTTCCGTAGATTTAATGGTGGTGTTGGCAGATGTGCTCAAGCCAAACAGTTTGGAACAACGCAAGGTATGTCAATATCTGTGTGTGTCTTGAACAATCTAATTGTCAGGTTGTTCGAAGCATAATAAGGTTTGTACAAAATGTTTGTCCGATTATCTTAGGTCGTTGGCCAAAGAAGTCTGCGGACTTTTTGCTGCAGCTGCTAAGAAATGCCGAGAGCAATGCTGATTACAAGGGACTTGATGTAGATCGCCTTGTGATCGATCATATTCAGGTGAATCACGCACCTTGCCTTCGTAGAAGGACATATAGAGCGCATGGTCGCATAAATCGTGAGTACATCATCTTAACCTTCGTTAACAGAAATACATCTTGCTGAACAATTGATTATTGTTGCAATTTTGCGATTTTTACACAGCATACATGAGCTCACCTTGCCACATCGAAGTGATCCTGACGGAGAAGGAAGACGTGGTCGCGAAGGCCACAGAAGAAGAACCATCCAAAAAAAAGCTGAGCAAGAAGAAACTTGCTCGACAAAAAGAAAAAATGTTGAGAGAATAATCTCATGTGAACGTGTTAAATACCCCGAAAAAATAAAGATCAACGTGGGTTCTGTATACTTTTTTGTATTATCTTCCTATCCAGAGAATCAGCATACAGAAAGCACCAGTAGCGTCTTCCAATTTCGACTTGACCACGTTTAGGAATGCATATATTATGTACGAATTAAAATTTCAATAATATCCAAGAAAACACGTGATATCTCGGCAATGTTGTTTCTCTGATACTTGATTCTCGCGGATTTTACAAATAGTAAAATATTCGGACGATATAGACGGATGATATACACGCTTAGAAAATATGATCAACACAAAAAATACAATAATAACGCGGTGTCATAGCTATTGAGTGAAAAAATTAAGTGATTTTGCAGCGGTTTGATTGGTGATACATGGATGTGAATAATTGAGAGAAGCTGCAAAAGTATGCACGAGTGCGTTCAAGAATATTCTACTCTCACGTTTATATTTGTAATCAACCGTTACGCACCAAATTATGCCTGATATGACATGATAATGCTCTTACATCGCATTGAATCCCCGATCGAGAGAGGATAGAAATGTATACGTTGCTTATTGAACTTTTGTTTATTGAATACTTATTTATTGAACATAGCGATTAATCACGACCTCACTGCTGTGTCTAAATTCTGTAAATCAATATCGGTACATGTATAAAATTCAACTAAGGCATTTAATTGCGGCACTCCGTATCAAATAATTCGGAAATTATGCGATAACAATTAAGCGCTAAATTCTTCTGGTCTCCTCGTCGCTCGACTAAATTTTCATGCGAGAAAATCCCGCTCTCGGAATATGTATCTCTCCGGTAGGAATTATTACGAATATATATTGAGCGGAGATTCTAATATTCTACTTTGCACGACGCGAATATCCTCTCGTCTTCGAAATTCATTTAGTAATATCGTGTTGATACTCGGGATTGGTCTAGAAAATTCGACGCTTGTACTCGACAAAAATGTGTAGATACGATCGTAGACTGTCGATCGACTTCCGCTAAGGTCAGGAAAGTGGCTCGCGCGTTGTGTTCGGTAAAAATAAACATAGCAAGCCTCCGCCTGTAAAAAATAAACGCACGTTAGAATCCTGTCAAATGAGAAGATTATTAAGACTTCCGTTTTCTCGCCGTCTTGATCAATGACGTGAAAGCAAGAAAATGTATGCCCAAAATTCCTGCAGAATATCTCGAGGATAAGGATATGTCCTTTATAAAATGATACCATGTAATCCGTAAAATTAAAGTGACGAAATTATGAGAGAAGATGGGCTAAGGAAGAAGATTGCTTCCGACGTCATCGAACAAGACGATTGTAGTGTGAGAGAGAAAGAGAGAGAGAGAGAGAGAGAGAGAGAACAGAAAGAAAAAAAAAACTTGCGTAAGGAAGAAAAGCGAAAAAGGATACGAGAGAAAGATATTCGCTTACCAATCAGGAGGGCAGCCACTATGAAAGTCGGTGCCGGACAGTACATGTCCAAAAGCTGCGCTATTACGATATTACCGATTATCCCGCCGAGACGAGCGGCCACCATCGATATGGCGATCCCTGTTGCGCGCAGTTGTGTTGGAAAAACCTCAGTGATGAGACAATCGAGCGCCGCATTGCCGCAGCTTATCGCACCGCTGAAGACCGCCGATACGATCAGATTATGATACTTGTTGTACACAAAGTATAAGCCGACCGAACACAGTCCCGATGAGAACGTGCTGAACACTGCAAAGATACGTACCCGCTGAACATACGCGTGCGACAGACGAAGAAGAAGGATAGGAAAAGGGGAAATTATGTCCGAGCGGCACAAATTGGCATCAGTAAATCTCGTGCAAATGATTAGCACACTGCTGGCATTTGCTTGTGACTTGACAATATATTATGCGGCTTTTAACTTAGACATCTGCTCGCAAGTCCTTCGCTGTACAATCCCACGTTTTGATTTTGCCGGAATTTTACGTTTCGCGAAACGAAACACAAACCTTCAGAAACGTGTATGTCTTATAGTTTTCTCAAAGAAAAAAAAAAAAAAAGAAATCTTAAAAACCACCCACCAAGAAAACGAAACGTTCCAAACAGGAATACTCCCTTGAATATAAATTTCAACGGTCCTGTTTTGTTTCTGCCGTCGTAATCCGCCATCGTACGTCGCCGGCAGATTCTGTTGTAAACTATTTTGTTAATAAACCAGGTCGATAACATTTACAGCAGATACTGTGCAAAATCCGCAGTTATCTGAATATACCACGTAAGACAGAGAGAGAGAGAGAGAGAGAGAGAGAGGGGGGTCTTCATGTATGCTGGCGATACGTCTATTTCGGCTGAAATAAGCACCTAGGAAAAATTTACGCCCGAGGCGATCCATCCCTAAGACAGCGATAATATTGGCGGGTATGGCGGACGCCACTGTGATAAGGGACTCCATGAAAACGGAGGCGCCGATCTTGTCGGAGCAAACGTTTTCGATGCTATGCGAGCCCTTGTTAACGACGTAATCGGTGACCTGGCATATCGAGGCCACCACGCCCGGCTGGTCGCGATGGTACTCGTCGAAACGATTGAACAGTTCCGGGAACCACATCATCAAGCCGTAGTAACCGATGTGGAAGGTGAAATTGATGACGATCGAGATGATCGTAAAGCGGAGAATCGGCGACACGAATAGCTGCCGGCTGTTCTCCACAATGTCGCCCAGCATGGCCTTACATTTGTTCTTCTCCTCGACGTCGACCTTGGTCGGGCTCGACTCTTGAAAGTCATCGATAATCAGTTCTTTCACCTGCGCGACAAATCACAGATATTCGGTAGCGTGCGATCGGCCGCCTCGCTGTATGTAACACATCAGCCGGTTATCGATCGGCGATTGGTTTACCGTGTAAGTGTCGCCCGGTTTGCCGGTGTTGTAGACGTATATCTTGCGAAAGATCTCGAGCGCCTCCTCGTATTTGCCGGAGGACAAGAGATACTTGGGAGATTCTGGTAGAAGCAAGAGCAGCCCGGTCACGACGAAGGACGGGACCGCGCAGATCAGCAGGAAGATTCGCCAGGAGTTGTAGGTGAACGACGAGCTCGTGACACCCATCTCGTTAGGGATGATCAACCATGCCAAGCCTGCCGAGATGCGTGTAATGTAAGAAGGGCGTGTTTTAGGGAAGAGCACCGACGAGAAAGGACGATTTACTCACCGGCGACAAAGAGGTTTCCCAGGGTCCAGAACGCCGCCATGAAGGACAGCATGGAGCCGCGTTTGGACTTCGGCTGGAATTCAGCGAAATACGACCAGATGACCGGTCCGCTACCTCCTAGCCTGGAACGTTACTAAATTATTCAACCCCTTTCGTTGCACGGATAAAGAATTTGCTTGAAATTCACCTGATAATCAACAAACCGGACGCCTCTTGTTCATTATCAGATAAATTCAACCAAACTTTCTTTTCCGCATCGTTCGCGTGTACATGTGCGTGTCATCCGTGTGTACATTTGTAATGAACGCATTCGTGATAACAAATGCGCGACAATTTATTTTATTTATTTATTAACAAAAAAAAATATATATATATATATATTGATTTATTAGTCAATATTTCGTTTACAGAAATGAATGTAAAAGAATAATCTTAACGAGCCCATTGAGATGTTCTAAGATGTTATAAAGACGTATTTGAGATCATAAGACGTCTGAACGACGTCTTTGAAACGTCTTTTAGACATACACGTTGTGTGGGAAGATTATTTTCAGGGCTGATATGACGAGAGGGCACGTAACAAATTGTGTCGGAAGGCACTCGCTGAGTTATGAAATAATTCACTCGAAATAATACTATTGAATTTTAACAATATTATAATGTTATTGCAGGATTACGACAACCCACTACAGATCACAAAATGATGATTCTGAACATAATCAATCTTGTTAGGACATTAAAAAAAATATATCAAAAAGATGAATGTATTATTTTGAGTAACTCTACATTCGAATCGATATTCGTACATTAATCTTTTCCCAACAATATGAACGATTTTCATTTTCAAAATATAAATCAGGTTTTATATCTGAAATTATCTTAGGTTAGACACTTTGTAGCAACAATAAAGCAAACTGTACAGTATAAGAAGATAAATTCAAGATGATCCTAAATATGAGATCTGGCTCTTGTGAGAGTCAGAGAGAAAATCCGAAAGCCGGAGTTGCTGAACGGGAACTCGAGATAGGCGTCTGTTCTTACCACTGAGCTATCCAGGCTCCTATTCCGTATATTCTCTTTCGTCCTCTTATGTGATGTTATTATCTCAATTTTGAAATAAGACAAAGAAATTGTTATTACAAAAGCTTTCGATGACTCAATTTAACATCATAAACTGCTTTTCCCCCGAGAATAAGACATATTTAAACGAAGGAGATGTAATTTCTCAGGTTAAAGAAATTTTAATTCTCGACTCGAAGTTGTCGTTCCTTTCTATTCAATATTCTTTACTCTCGACTCGAGGAAAATGTTTCTCGAATAACGAGAATATTATATTTTTAGTGAAAAACTATATGCAATTTCTTTATGTAAGCAAGCTCTGTCTGTTCAACGCTGTATAATCTTATTTCAACATATTGAGAATACGGATTTTCTCCAAACAAGAAAGTCCTTTTTTCCACGTGCTACATGCGGCCCAATGAAATTCAACGTGAAGAACACGTCGGAGAAGATTGCGTACTTACGCCGCGCCGTTGAGAAAACGGAAGAACATGAAAAGCTCGTAGGTCTGGCTGAAACTAGAGGCGACGATACACAGGGCGTTCATGAAGGAGATGGCGATCAGGACCTTCCGACGACCGACCGCGTCTGCCACAGATCCCCAAGCGTACGCGCCCGCCATCATCCCGATGAAGATGATCGAGTTGAGCCATCCCTTCGCCTGGGTGTTGAGCTTCAGGTCACATTGCGCACTCGGCAGGATGAAGGACATGGAAATTACGTCCATCTCCTCGCTGGTGCTGACGAAACCGCACACCGCGAGCAGGAAGTAATGGAACTTGCCATATTCTACGAAGAACAAAACGCCATGATTGACGCCCGATCGAGGAATTTCGTCGAGGTTCTTCCCCGATCGACACTCACCGCTAAGCTCGATCGCTTTCTCGAAGTCGGCTTTGTCGTACAATCCTTTCTCTGGATCAAGAGTCTTGCCCTTTAATCCGATACCTGAACAGAAGAACAATTACCGGCCGTTAATCGATCGTTTGGTCTACGCGCGAAAATATATCGATTCTCATAACTTCCACCTACGGGCGAGTTCGAGGTCCTTGGAACCGCAACCGTTTAGCCGCTCGTCTTTTACATCACACTCTGCAACGGTAAAATGAGATTCGTACACGGGACCGAAGCGACGACGATCTCTCTCAATTTCTTGGGGGTGAAATCTCACAACGAACGAGCGAAAAGTGGCAGTATTTTCGCTGGAAACAAGAGAGTGAGGATACTGCCGCATGGAAAAAGAAAACTGCAACTGAATAGAGACCAGATGAAAATTCGTTGACAAAAAATGAAAACTCGGCGACAAGAAATGAAGTCTCTATTGACCGTGACCGAGAACATTCGTGTGAATATTTAGCCAAGTTAAAATTCAGTTAAGATAACTGAGACTCGTATTAATAATCGTTACTTGAAACTCGTCTCAGGTGAAGTACTCAGATTTAAATTTAGACTAAGATATGAATTTTTTTAGTTGAATCACATTCACTAATGTGATGTATTGTATGATTCAAGTAAAAAATTCAAATCTAACTCTAAATCTAACCCGAATATCTCACTTGGGACAAATTTCAAGCGACGACTATTAATATAGGCTTGAGAGCAATTGAGTAACAAATGAACCTGCTCAAGTGATGCACCGCGCTTTCTTTCAAATTTGGCACGAATGTAGAGCTACGACAAATATTTTAACCGTATCTTTTATCATTTTTGCCCACGGTTTTACGAGCAGTTAATATCACTTCAGTTTTCACTATCAGCATCAATAAATATCATTATAATGCATAATTCAGTTACACAACAGGTTTGTTTCTTCCACGCGCTCGAAATCGCAAAAATGTATGACTCACTCAAGTTTAGAGTGATTTTGCACGAATGAATATTTCTATCGAATCATTTCAGGATGAATTTGTTCCCGCAGCGATAAGGAAAGAAAAAGACATCAAATTCGCTTTTTTCGTTTGGAATGAAAATCATTCATTCGGTGATTCAAAGTGGAAAATTCATTCGAGTGAAGAATTACTCGAATTCGAGTGACTCGGCTGTCACTCTGCTGTTTCGAGTGAAATTTCATTGCAAAAAATTCCGAGAGATCGTAACTTGCCCGACGAGAATTTTTCAGGCCATACGTACTATAATTGCGCTTTGTTTTGGGTTCACCTTCTACCATTCTACGATGTCGGCGCGTGTAGGTGAAGCAGCCTTGGTTAAAGAAGTCAGATATCGAGCCTGTGCGTTCGGCAAGAAATCTCGTCGAGTATCGGACAGTCGATACAGCTGCTGTCGATCGATAGGTCCGGGCGAAGTCTTTCTGCTGAATTTGCACTGATCTGCTGCTGCTCGTCGGCGGGGCTGGATTCTGCGCTCACTCGTGAACTGAAACAGATGCGATGAAAAAAATCAACGATCTTACAGTTGGAAATCAGAAAAATCAGGAAAATCGTACAAGACAGGCTCTATTGATATATTCAATCAATAATAAACTTCAGATAACGGGGGCCTATGCACAGGTAGTTCAGTGCGATGAAAATGAAAAAATGAAAAAAAAAAAATACAAAATGGAAGAAAAGGAAGAGACGAAGAAAAGTAATAAGAGAGGTAACTTTGATTCGTGCGAAATCGCACCGTTCGTGCGAAATCGCACGGTTGCGGCGCGACCGTCGAAAATCCCTCTTTACCGAAATGCGCTACTACACCGCGCAACGGTCCATCCGTGATAGAGCTCGGAGAAACTCGGACGAAATTATACGAATTCATCTAACAACGAGTTGAGTATGTATGATGCAATGTTTCTAAAGTACTAGTTGTTAGTTCGGCACATTAGTAGGCCGTAGACATGCGCGACTGCTTAAACGTGTAATTCCACTATCAAACTTGCGTGTATTATCGTCGATGCAAGTTTCAATGAGGTAATAATAAGACTGGTAATGACATTATTATTCTTTTCGTTAACCTTTGTGAGTCCAAACCGTGACCCACCGTAGATCCTCGATGTCCCCACAGTGCCATCGGTTATCTTCATTCCTATCGGTTATTTTCAACCCCGACAACGATTGTATCTTCGAATTTATCGTCTCGCGTGTGTGTGAGCACGCGTGCGTGCGTGTAAATTGCGTATTTAGCGCAAAATATCTGATATAACGAGGATATTACACAAAACTACCTCGAGAACGTTTGCACCACACGGTGAGAAAAAAAGAGATAGAGAAAGAGGGAGAAAGAGAGAGAAAGAGAGAAAGGGGTTAAGAGGGAGGGAGGGAGGAAGAGTGAGAAATATAAGTCAAAGTACAAATCCGTGCCGTAAGCTGCATTATTTTGCATAACTTAAACTTCTTGTTCATCATGATCGTACGATATACATTATGAACAACATTCGCGATAATCATCGTCTTCGGAGCGGTTTCGCGGGTGTCCTTGGCGCACGGAAAAAAAAGAAGAGAAACATCGAACGCGTTTTAACTATGTTAATGCGCTGTTTCGCCGATCATTTTAATTATTACTAGTTCCCACAATTCTATTATGAAACGATGTTACAAACGCCGCACATGACGCTTTTTTCTCGTGCGCTAAATCGTAGTACACGCTCGTAGTACACCGCCGTTACTGGCACTGCTGGTCATTGCTTGCGGGCAAAATAATCGTAGTTATTGAACCAAATGTCGTAAACCTCAAGCGAATCATTGTCACGGATGCATAAAGTCAACAATAAAAACATGACTCATGGCAACGTGAAATTAAAACGTTCGCGATTGAATGGAAGATAGACGCAAAATCGGAGGAGGTGGAGAAGATAATATGATTTCGTTCGAGGAGCACGGAATATTTAAAAATCTCGATTAAAGTCAGCAAAATGATACTAAATGACGACGGGTTAATTATCCGTCGTTTTAAACGTTTTAATTTGGAGAAGAGTCATGTTACACGGATGTGCTCGGTATGAAAGAGAAAAAAAAATATGATCTCGACCGTGACAGGACTCGAACCTGCAATCTTCGGATCCGAAGTCCGACGCCTTATCCGTTAGGCCACACGGTCGTTGGAAGGTTGTTTGCTGGAACAGTTTCACCACTCCCGAGGCATATCCACCCTCTGTCGGTATCGATTTCACTCGAATGTTTAATAAAAATTAATACCCGCACTTTTCGACTGACTAAAACATAGCAAGTGTCTATGTATAAGTGGCACACACAAATTATGCAATATACATAGAAAAATATCATTCTACAGCGAAGAAAAGCATTTACTCGGTTTACTTACTTTCTTTTAAGTGAGAGTTATTTTCAACAAACGATATTTTCTTAATAATATGCTACAAATACACTCGTCATAAATTTTGCAAAATCTCATTATAATTCATATTCAAGAAAAAAATGTATCCTTTTTTCAAGAATATTATAAACCTTATTGAAGAAAAGTTAAATTTTTTCGATTAATTTGAATAAGTATAAACCAAAGTTTGTTTTAATTTAATATTCTTGATTGAAGTAATAAAATTATTAGGATTCAAAATATATTTTGAATAAATGTCATGCTTATGATAAATTCATAATATATTTGCGGCTGTATAAACTTATGAAATACTTGAAATAAGTAATATTTGTTTGAATGCAGTACATATTTTTCTGTGTATAGTGTACAACAGGCATAATATAAAAATGAGATGTACATGACGTAGTTTTTAATATTTTATTATTATCTATTTTTTATTATTAGAGGGAAAGGTGGTATATTATAGCTTCCCATTTACATTTTAGATACAATAATTTTGTCAACTATTAGTATTTTAAATAAAAACTATAGCAAACTAAACGATTACATTCGTTAAAGTACTGTTTAAACGATTCTAGACCAAAAATTATGAAATATTTATTACCTAGCAGGTTATTTATAAACATTTTTTTTTCTACGTGATATGAATGCGATTTAATTGCGATTTTGTTATCGCATGATTATTTATTATTATGATTATATATATATATAATATATATATATATTTATCTATATATATTTATATATTATTATAATATATATATATAGTATATATATATAATCATAATAATAAATAATCATGCGATGACAAAATCGCATTTCCAACGAGCGGGAGAGTACTTAAAGAGCTTGACCGGCAGTTTAATATCGCCGATCCTGGTAGCTCAACGATATAATTGGGGGAGGGGGCGTTTCGCGGTTTAATGCCATTCTAGAAAACGACACGACATCCTGTACCAAATACTCCCTAATGAGCGAATATCACGCGCGCCTCTCTCTCTCTCTCTCTCTCTCTCTCTTTCTTTGACCACGACACAGAATCGGTCGCTCTACGATTAAAGTGGACCAATGGCGAATCAGACTTGACCGTCAGGTTCTTCCGGAATAAGCCGTTCGAATATTCACACGAAAGGATAAAAATAAAATAGAAAAACAAACAATCAGCGAGTAATATTCTCTTTGATGATTATAGATAAAAGCGACAAGATAGATAGATATGTACAACTATTATCAAAAATTACAAGAAGAACTATTAGCGACCCGATGTGTGCCGGCACAGTGATCGGGGGTACATAAATCTACATTCGGCCGCGAAAGCATGCATATAGAATAACGTATAATTATGAATAACTGCGTAAATGAAAAAAAAAAGGAAACACACGAAGAGCGTCGGAAACAATCGTCAATTTCGAAGCGTTCGGCTATTTACGAGCAATTTAAATAAATATGGACGAAACACAATTCCGCGGAGTATCACACTTTTACAGCTCGAGTGCTAATTTATTTTTTACGAATTATTTTTAACGAATTGACGCAACAGCGAGGACAAACAAGGATGTTGACGAGTGAGAATATTAAAACGCAGATGGGAAGACCCGTCCGGCGACAAGTCATCCATTCGGGAGATTGTGTCACGTTGAAAAGATGATGCTAATGATACGTGCGAAAGGAGGCGCGAGGTCGAGTCGTTTTTCAGTCGCTCGAATCGGCGCCAGGAGCACCGAAAGGTCAAGCTGGACTTGTAATTAATGTCAATCCGCAGGTGTTATAATTAATCTTATTGGCGATGACGAAGATAGTGAAGAAAAAAAAAAGCGGAGAGAAAGGGGGAAAGAAAAAGGCAGAGCTCCATTTGCAAGCTCGTTAGACGGCAGCGCGAGATAGAAATCGTTGCCTGAATTGAAAATTGGATGCTTTGACGCATCTCCGAATAGTTTGCGTCTACTTAAATGAAAGTTAATGGAAACTTATTTTGACAACGTTGGCATTCATTTAATTGATTAATCTCTTGAACTTTGTAGAAAAAAGAAAATTAGTTTGAACTTACTTGAAATGGACTTTCTCGTTACAAGAAACGAGCTCGGCTCATAAAGATTATAATTTTTGTTTTCTTTAACCAAAACGCGTTTGGTTTGTTTATTTCAGATAGGTTTAACCAAACTTTTGTTTTTTTGCTTCAATTCTACAGATTTCATTTCAATGCTACCTTGAACAACTTATTTTAACGCTAAAACAGTGAAAACGGAGACACTTGACACGTCATTAGAGTCAAAGTAGGAGTAAATTATATTATTCGCGCGAATTAAAATTGCGCGCACGCAAACCTACTTTGTTGCCTTAGCCTCTACTGTGCTGCGGAAATGAAGACTTAACACAGACGGAGAAAAAAATTTGGTTGAATTAACATGACAATAAACGAAGCGCTTTGATTGAGGAATTTCTGGTTGTAAGGACCGAATTCATAAGAACCACAGGGAAAAAAGTCTCACTTCCTGCAACTGCAGCAGGGATCGGATGGGAACTTCTCGGTAACAAGAAACAATAATACCTCTGTTACCGCGAGTAAGAATATTCGTGTGAACGTTCAGCTGTATTAAAACGTGGTAAAGACAACTGAGAGCAATTGGCCGAATAGAAAGCCTCTTACAGGAATTCTTTCGTTTCCACAACCGAATTTTCGCCTGGACTGCAGGTAACGGAAAATTCAGTTGCACCAACGGAATTGTTTGTCGGCGTACAGACACACACGGCCAAAAGAAAGTTTGACAGAATTTATCTCACAATAAATAAGCCCAACGCGTTTAAAATACGCTTGTTTTAAGAAACACCCATTTATTACGCTTATAATTTTAATCAAGTATTGACTAAAGTATCAAGTAGATATAAAATATCCTTATTATAGTGCAATAATTCCGAATCATTTATTATTAATTGCGTTTTCTCCCGAGCAAAGTAAGCAATAACGATATTTCTGGCATTAGAATATCGCCACAATATTGCCGGAATTTTTTCACGGCAGATCGGATGATCCTCCTCTGTATACTAACAAAATCTTTTACGCATCTTAGCATGCTCGTGCTAATCGGACGATATATGTCTATCTGGGG